CTCTCACACACTCTGCCACCCTCACATACACACTGCACCGCTCACACACACACACACTGTCCCACACATACACTGCCCCCTAACACACACACACTGCAACCCTGACCTACACTGCCGCCCTCACGCACTCGCACACACACTTCACCGCTCACACACACACACTACTCCTTTCACACACACTTCACCTCTAACACATACCACTGTTCCTAATCCCTATATCCCAGCAGACCCCAGGTAAGTTGTCAAACTGTTCTTAAACGGTTTGACTACTTACTCTAGGATTGGATCCTGGCACTACTGGCGCCATAACTACTACACTGATTCCTTAAATAATCTACAAGTGCCCCTCCCGAGATCAGGCTCTGGATCCGCCACTGCACCTGGAAACCGTTGCAAACTCATTGATAGATTGGAAACCTAGGTTAAAATGTCCAATCCAGTCAAATCTAAATCTCTCTCGAAATCCCTGTGCCTAATTACAATCCCCTAATTATTTATTGAAAAAATATTATACTAGGAAGGATACATTGATATTTCTTTCATTTTCAAGTATGTCCTGGGTAAGACGCCTAATTAAACATGATAGAGCCCTGTTTAACTAATGCCTACGCCACTCCGTGCGAAAACCACACCGGGCAAGGCACCGCTTGAGCCCAAATGAGAGTAAAATCCTTGAACAGAGACTGATGCATATCTGCTCAAAGCAACACATCTGAGGTACAGCTACTCCCACCTTAACCATCTAACCCCCTTCAATGTATCTAAATCATCTCATAAGGTAAACCAAGATTACGGCCATAACTTTGTCCCTCAGCTTTCTGAGCAGCCCAATAAATAAAAACATACTGAATCCAAACGTACAGGGTGGGAACACCTAGAAACAAACAACACTAAGTGAGGACGAACAGGGTATTTGGGCAATATTCTACAGGGCTAAAAATAGGGACTATCTCTAATAATGGTAAAGTAGGATAGTACCAACATCTGTCTATCATGTGCTAGTTTCATTAAATACTCAGAGTGTTCTAAAGCATTTTGAGTTGAACTAGATGAAAACTTGCTATATAAATATTTAAGATTATTAACAAGTGGATGGCGGATCCTAAAAATGTAAGTATTTACACAATACTGCTTTTGTTGTTTCTTCTATGATGGTGTCACAGCATTGCTTTTGTGGGTGGCTAATCCCCTGGCCAATGCTTTCTTGTAATTCTAGTACGATGAATTCTGGAGGCCAGTGACGTCACCCGAACAGCTGGGCTCACTTGGACTTTGGAGGGATGGATGAAATGAAGGGTTTTTGGTCACTCAAACTGCACACTGTCTCGGGTCTGGGTTGAGTTTAGCATAATTTATCTGCTGGCTTTATTCCAAAACAATTTATGGGAATTCTAGTTAGTTTGATCCTGTGCATATTTAGTGTGGTTATGTAACTATTTAAAGCACTGATCTGAATCAAGGAATTAGAAAAATAATAAGAATATGTATATTCCGGTTTGTGGCCAGATGTAGGAGGAATCAGTCACATTCATATTTTAATTTCTGTTATGATAGATAATAGATTGTTTCTTTTATTGAGGCAAGTGATATATATGATACAGAAGATGAAAAAAGGTAGTATAACAGAAATACACAGCACCAGAATATCACATGGCATAAAATCATATTCTTTTGCAATTCCAAGTTCTGCGTTTCTGAAAGTCAATGCTTTAAAAGGAGCCTTATTTGATTCTCCAAGGGTCTTCGTGCTGCATGCGGCAGATTTGTGGGTGCGAGAGAACTTCAGTGTATCGAGAACCCGTCGTATGATTGGGCAATTGGTAGGAAGTACCTTCACATGGTAGTACCCAGGTGTGGTAGTTTGTGTCACAGACTGCACAGGCAAGGTAGCTTCAGAACTTCGGCTCTGGATTTGCCTCCAAAACGTCTGACACAGCTGTTCAAAGTGGGCGTTGAAGTGCTCTCTCCAAGTCTGGAATGATGAGGCCTCCTGTATGTGAGTATCTTAGAAGTGTGACAGCCATCTTGGGCGCGCCATGTGGTGTTCAGTTTGTCCGGAGGTTCTGTTGCAGGGAAGCAGGGAGTGCCTCCAGTGGTCCATGGAGGTGGTTGCGGGGCTATAAAATGGTCATCATGCAGAGTAAGTTCCGTGGGCGGCCGCCTCCTCCAGTCACCAGGCCGCTAAGCAGACTTGGCCACATATGCAGGCAGTATTAGAAGGCAGTGGAACAGCTTAAATCATGTCTCCCGTGATTCCCATTTGGTATATGGCAATCCAAAGCTTGGGTGAGGATTCAGGCAATGTGACAATGTGTGCAAAAGCACTCAGAGTACACGTCCGGCCATCTTGAATGCTGAAGATTGAGATTGAATGCTGGGTAGCTGGGGGTCCAGAATAGTTATGGAGATGAACAATTCATGGAAGTGATTATTAGACATAGAGTCCCCTGGTGCCAGTGTGAAATCATTTTCAAACAATTTAATACAAAATGTGGTACACAAGAGCCTGCAGCCCAGCCTTTCTATTGCTGAGGCATTGGCCTGAACATTGATGGGCACCATTGATAGTCTGAGAGTGTCACCTGATTTCTCTCAGCCTATTAGAGCTAGCCATAGCTGATAAACATTTATATAGCTAAGTTAGCGTATAATCTCCTCCTTAGCCGTACCTCAAGTAAGGGCCAGGTTGTGGACCACAGTGGACATTTATGTAGTGCTAAACATTCTAAAAAAGGCAAACTAAACTACTAGTACCTGCAGGGCTTGAAACTCAGATGTAGTGATAAAGGTGTTTGGAACAGGAAAGGGTGTAAGGGTTGCCATTGTCAATTTTGTTAAACGTTAAAAACCAACTTTATATTAGGTCAGACATTACACATACATATACATTATTGTATATACCAGCCAGGTGATAAAAGTAATTGCTGGTGCCTAGTATATGAGGCACATTCAGTCCTTAATTTAATAGGCTTTCCAAACAATTCAATATTGTGGGCAAACCTTTCCAAATGATTGATCGACAGAAGTCACCATCAAAGTCTATGTGAGTTTTTGAAAGTTCTTTTAACATTACTGAGTCACTATGGAAGCTTATTAAATCAAGGCCTCCGTAAGGGACTCAAACAGTAAGGATCTTTATCCAGCTAACTAGCTAGCTTACTTTATTTGAGGCATATTTCCCGTGACAAATATACATTTATGTATACACATTCTACAAAGTTTCCACAGGCTCACATTTAATTTTAAAACTTTGTCTTTAAAACTTTTTTTTGTGATTTTGGTGCCAATTTTTACAAAAGGATATTTCCAACAACTGGCTGCCAAATATATAGATATATATTATTCAAATGACTGTAACATTAAAACACACATTTCTGTATTGACTGCCTTTACTTCATCTCCCTGTCAACCAAATCCATTTGTGTTGTGCCTACCGTACTTTTCCATGTGAAAAGTTCATGGCAAAAAACAGCTGATGGGACTGGTATTCTAACCTGTGCTGGAGATTGAGGGACGTAGCATTGGCATTACCTTAAGTTAAAGCTCGTGTTTTCTTAGGTCACTAGCAATGTCAGAGGCAGATGCCAGATTAAAAGATTACTAATCTTTTCAGTAGCACCCTTTTCTCCCTTGTTAATCCCATTTCTCTTTAATCACAACAGTTAGCTTCCTTCGTTGTTCTTTTGTGGGTTTTTTTTTCTCTCTTCTGTCTCTGGGATACCACCTGTATGAACACGAGGGGTTTCCTAGAAAAGAAAACTCTGTGATTGGCTACTTGTGAAATTTTCTACTTAATGAAAAGCATCTTCTGCCACTCCTGCGTGCCTTTGACATCTTAACCTTGGACAAGACACAAGGAAACGTTTGGAGCTCTGGGACTTTAGCCCTATCAGTTGAATTGTTCCTTTTTTTTTTTTTTGGACAGCAAAATCTTGCTTTATTCTTTTTTTCTGATTGAATATCAAGAATTAGAATCAAACTCAAGACGACCAAGATTTTTAGGTTTGAACTTTAGATATTTTAACAAATCACTTATTAGAGACCAACTCCAACAACCTTCAAAGAAAAAAGCAAAAGAGATTTTGTGCTAAAATGGGTAATATAGATGGAAAGACAGTAGAAGAATTAAGTGCCACTGAAATTCACAGATGGTATAAGAAGTTCATGACAGAGTGCCCCTCTGGTCAGCTAACACAGCATGAGTTCAAGCAGTTTTTTGGCCTCAAAAATCTCAGTCCAGCATCAAATCAATACATCGAACAGATGTTTGACACCTTCGACTTTAACAAGGTAAATGAATAGATGGCATTAGTGTTTTAAATGCTTTGATACTCCCTGAAATGTTTTAGAGCTCTTTTTTACATTTTAGTAATTAGTTCAATTTTTAAGCTGAAGGTAAGTTAATATATATATATATATTTAATAAATTGAAGACGTGTATAATTTGTAAATATTTTAGAAAAATAAATGCTAGTATTGAAACTATCTGCACAACAAAAGGGGACAATGACTCTAACGTCTGGTACCATTAGACTGAGTGTGCACACTCTAAGCGAGTCCATCTTTTCCAGAATCTATACTCTACCGGTATGATTCTTCCTATCTGGATATCTGTTGGATCTAAACTGCAGTGATGTTTCTCGTTGCGTGCTAGCTTGTTCTTCAAATATTCTCCTCCACTGCTGTTTATAATATTCTAATGTGCTGACTCATAATAATAATTACTTGACAATTAAAACAATTTGTTCTGCATGTTTTCCATTTTTTTCCTCTTACTCTTCTTATTCTGGCTGTAACTCCATTTAGCACCATTTGTTAGTGGTGATTGATGTCGATAATATCTACCTATCCTAACTAACCTAACTAGAACCTTCCATAGCTAGTATGCGTTGCATGTAAGCAATTGACCAGAAAGCCTTCTGTTTTTTTGTGAATTACTTCTTTCCAATGTTTCATTACTACTTTCCCTCCATAACCAGTTCAAATGAATTGCTGCTTATGTTTGATCTAGCTCAATTAATTTGAAACTCATTGCATATACTAAGGACAGGCATGAGGGTAAAAATATGAACCATTGTAAAAGCTATGTAAGCTATATGTAGGCTACTGTGTTCCAGAATCTGGGGAGCTATGAGAACACCAGCGTAGAATACCAAAGTAGCTATATATTGTGTATAGAAAAATCAAATAGTTTTTATAATATTTGGAAGTATACTGTCCCACCTTAGTCAGTGACTTCCCTTCTTGTCCTTACCTTTTATCCATGATATCTGCCTGCTGTAAAAAGAAATTATTTTAAAGAGCTAGACTCGAAGTTAAAGGAAACCAGTGCTAACAAGTCAAGTTTTTGAGATAAGTTTAAGCCAACAAACCTTTCCACCTGGGTGAAATAGATACTTTACCCACAAAATGTCTGTAGATGGACTGGTTTTAATATACTGTAGGCCAGTCACACACAGTAATAAAATCTGCCAGTAACAGCTGGTGTATGAGCTGATAATATTTATGATATTATTATTATAGGGTAGGATGGGCCTTGTCATCTACTATATTTGGTGGTTACGAGGGTATTGGGATTCCAGACATTAAGACTTTAAAACCTATTAAAGTATTTCTAGGAGTACTTCAAAATTTGGTCGAAAGTTTGCTGCCAATAACAAAGTTTCTTCTGTACTTACATGGATTATAAACAATAGAGTTAAGGCTGGAAAAAAAAATATTGAAAACCCCTTCCACCTGAGGTCAGTGGCTTGCTATTGAGGCTTGGCATTACTTGTGGAGCACAAATCAACAGAATTATGGCGGTGTGTCAAGAGCTTTGTTTAACAATTTATTTGCTATGCACTGAATTCAGATGGAAGGGGTTTTAGGTCACTTTTTTCCAAAGCCTCCATAGCAAGCCAGTAACCAACCTAATGCTAATGAGTTGCATTACCAACAAAATGGCCGTCCATGAGTAGGTAATCTTGCTTTGCTTCACTTCCTGCGTTGTGTTTCAAAGCTGTTAAATACAGCAGACATATACTCCAAGGAATCCATGTGTAACGTGAGATACATTAGGCAAAAAAGTGGTTCTTTGTTGAACTTATTTGCATATGCCCACCCAGAATCCCTTGCAGTAGTAATATCAATGCAAATGTGAGATTTCTGTGGGAAAGCAAGTCTGGCTTGACTGCTCTGTGCAGATCTATTTTTAACAATGTATTTACAATAATAAAGTATACAAATTTATTGAGATTTGCTTAGTTCCAGTGTACTAAAATCAACAGTTCTTACAAGAATAAAAAAGTAATATTATGAAGCATATTATGCATATCATCTCCCTGCCGTATTGAGAGGCACATATCCTATACTTCCCCTGGGGAGCCTTACACTAGCACACGTTTCTCCCTCTGGGAGTAGAAGGCTTAGTCAATACTCATTAATGTTTATTCATGTTCTTCTAAAACAAAACTAAGTGCAGTAAAATTGAGTGACATAGTTTGATAAGTTTTATTGTTGCTCTGTATTGTCTATTTTATATCTCTACCAGCTTGTACACTAAAGCTTGCACTGCAAAAATAAAGAATTCAAAAAAAGTTATATTCTTAAACAGGACTATCCAAACTAAAGTGAAAATTGCCCAGAATTCAAAGTGAATTTCCCATTTAAGGCCAAAAAGCATTTCGGAATTGTTGTTTCGAGTTTGGATATATTAGCCTTTAAATTTGAAATTCAATTGGAAACCCTGACATGTTAAGCATATTCTTCGTCTCAATGTTATTCATACTGGGATATTTTTTATTATAATTTGATGTAAAGAGTTACTCCAACCAAAAAAATATTGTTTTAGGAAAACACTGATTTTGATTAGAATAACCCTTCCTATAATTCTCTCCCCACACACACACAAAAAAAGAGAAAATAGCTGAAAGTTATCTCTATTCAGGTGCCACAGCTAAGTTTCTCCTCAGTCCAGTTCTTCTCTGCTGCCATTACTCTACTTTGCTTGAGGGGGATGAATATCAGGTAGGGGAGTCTGATGGAAGGACATGGGCAGCGCAGAGTAGGAAGGCCACTATTTCTGTTCTGTTGTCAGCATGTTATGTGTGCTGACAAAGGATGCCTTGAATTAACAGCCAGCCTCTTACTCTTGGCTTCCTAATAATGCCCCAAGTGATGAACTCAGTATGTGCAGCATTTTTGAGGTGCATATGCAGACTGCTGGCAACATGACAACCTAAAATAATCACAGTGGTCATGGTGCTTTGAGTAAGCGTTTAAGAAATGTTTTGTTCTATTTAATCTACACCTAAGATTTGAAAAGTTTTAGGTGAAACTTCTCCAAAAATATTATGTAGTGCAGTCACTCACATTTACTCTCTCCCAAACCTTTTCAATCTTAATTATCTATACTCGTTAAACATTTTCTCAATGCTATGAGGGGGGGAGGGAGAGGAGAAGAGAAGAGTTCAGCTCCAAACTCGCCCCCTCTATCTACCTTCTAAATCCCCAGGAAATCTAACTACCTTTTCTTTGTTTGAATGAAGCTGTACATCACTCCCACACCAATTATATATTATACTTGTGCTGCTTTCTAGGTGATGCCATGGTAACACAGTTCTTAAGTGCCATTGTATATGTAGCTGGGATAGCTATCATGGACTAAAGCCATTTTCTTAAACATTAGGTGCTATTCACTAAACAGTGATCCCTGACTATTTCATAATTAGTACATCCAATAAAGATTCTACAACTCAGATTTATTTGAAACTCTTTAACTCTGTTATATGGTTCTGTGCTTTGCAAATTAATTGTCAGTTTATCACAATCACATTAATGTTTTGTTTATAGTAAACTATATATACAATCTAATGGTTCTATAATATTCTGGCTTGAGGAGAGTACAATCAGCAACATAAAAAAAAATAAATTATGAAGTTTCTAAAAAATGCAGGAAATGAGAACATCAGAATTTGATATGAATAAATATATTCTACCCGTGTTTCCCCGAAAATAAGACCTACCCCGAAAATAAGCCCTAGCTGGATTATCGGGGTGGGCTGCAATATAAGCCCTACCCCGAAAATAAGACCTAGGCAGGGCCGGCGGCTGCCGGCCCTTTAAATGCCTCAGCCGCCTGAGCGCTCTATAGAGAGCACTCAGACGGCTGCCGCAGTGCCTCACCTCCCCTTCCCTGTAGCGTGGCCGAGCTCCTCTCCGGTCCGCGACCCGCCCGGACTGACAGGAAGTGCACACTGGGTCTGCACTTCCTGTCAGTCCGGCCTGGCCGCGGACCGGATAGAAGCTCGGCCACGCTACAGGGGAGGTGAGGAGAAGATTGGAGGGGGGGGGGAGTATTACAGGGAGGGAGGGACGAAGGGGGGATAATATTACAGGGGAGGGAGGGGGGGAGCATTACAGGAGTGGGAGGAGGGATGGCCATTACTGGGAGGGAGGGGGGAGAGTATTACAGGGAGGGAGGGGAGGATAATATTACAGGGAGAGAGGGGAGGATAATATTACAGGGAGGGAGGGGAGGATAATATTACTGGGAGGGAGGGGGGATAATATTACTGGGAGGGAGGGGGAGAGTATTACAGGGAGGGAGGGGAGAATATTACAGGGAGGGAAGAGTATTACAGGGAGGGAGTGGAGAATATTACAGGGAGGGAGGAGATAATATTACAGGGAGGGAGGAGATAATATTACAGGGAGGGAGGGGGGAGATAATATTACAGGGAGGGGGGAGATAATATTACAGGGAGGGAGGGAGGGGGGATAATATTACAGGGAGGGAGGGGAGAATATTACAGGGAGGGGGAGGTGAGGGTCTCTAGGGGGGTTACACAGCGCGGACACCGGCTGACAGACTGGCTCTAAGCCCTACCCTGAAAATAAGCCCTAGTGTGTTTTTTGTGACTAAAATTAATATAAGACCCGGTCTTATTTTCGGAGAAACACGGTATATAAAAGTGTGTATATGCACAACATGTAGAGAAAGACAGGAGATTCTCCTTAAGCAGGTCCCATAATATTCATACATTTGGTTATGCTTGACATATTTTAAAGAGATAATGAGGAAGGCTATCTATTACAACTGTTGTACAATAGTAGGATGCACTTATCTAAGAAGTCGAGTTTTATTTGTACGGTTTAGGATCTAGATGGGTGCACACGTGAAACTGGTTTCTCACATATGAATTTTCAGTCTCCGTTACCAATAGCAAATTTACACAATAACGTTGGATCAAACCTGGACTCTTCACACAGTCTAGCTACTTCATTATGTGTACTACTTATTAAACAAAATTTTAGCTGTTAGCTTAATGTCTGCAAATTAATACGGCCCTTGCTGACCTGTCCGTTTTTTCATTTCTTTGGGATGAAAAGAATCAATGTAAATTGTTGCCACTGTAGGTTTATTAGGGAAATGTGGTTTCATTGTGTTTGTGCTCTACAGGATGGATACATGGACTTCATGGAGTATGTGGCAGCCTTGAGTTTAGTGCTGAAGGGGAAGGTGGAGCAGAAGCTGAGGTGGTACTTTAAACTTTATGATGTTGATGGGAATGGCTGCATCGATAGAGGAGAACTTCTCAATATTATCAAGGTTAGCATGGGAACTTCGAACATTTGTGGGTGACAATTAGGTGAAATATGACAATCAAAGACACCACCATAATAAAGACCTTACTTTTAGTAGGAGCCTTGTCAAGCAGGGCAATCAGGCTAGTGGGTTGCTTTTAGGAAAACTGGCTGGGATTGGCTGTTGGATGGGGGTTCAGCTAATACTGTTGTAGGGGGCTGAAAGATGTAAGAGATGACTAATTACTAAATGACAATGATAGTATAAAAAAAAAACTAAAAAAAACCTCATACTACTGTCCCTAATCCATTCATATAATGGTGGCTGAACCAGAAAAATATAAGTGTTTGGGGGGGATATTTAAATTGTAGAAATGTAAATGTTAAAAAGCCATACAGGTGGCACCATTGTAATAGGACATTCTTAAGAGTGCAGCCCTTTTGCAGCCCCATTAATAAGAGTATGATTCTTTTTTTTTTTTTAAAGCAGCCAGGTAAGACTTTTTAATGATATGTATTAAGGGGTAAAAGCATTAGGCTGGGATTGATTTTGTCCACATTTAGCATTTGTCGCTTGTTAGTGAGAAAACCTGCACTCAGAATGTGTTCTGTGTGGGATCAGAGTGATTGACACTTTCATGGCTCTACATTCTAATAAATACAGAAACATTACTGAGTTGCTTTCATGGTGCTCACTATTTTAAACTCACCCTTTTGACAGCCATTTCACTGTTCTAAAATGTAACCGCCAATTCCTTGATTATATTCTATTTCAGGCTATCAGGGCCATAAACAGATGTAATGATGAGATGACTGCAGAGGAATTCACTAATATGGTTTTTGACAAAATTGACATCAATGGAGATGGTAAGTGATTTTATCTGCTTGTTATTACACACAAATGTTTAATTAATAAAACCCCTGTCCACATTATTCAAAATAACTCTCTGTTATCTGACTGCCAATGTGGTTCAACCTAATTTTACCCAATTTGGCTGAGCAAAAATAACAAGTAGATAGTAGCCAATGCTAATACAAGCTGTAATTGCAATTGCAAAACTACAGCAATTAGTACATTTATTATAGCTAACTCCATCTGTGTTATCCCCATAGGTCTGCTAAATCCAAAATATCAAAACATATTTATTACATTATTAAAATATTATTCATTTATTTATATAGTTTATTAAATTCATAATATTTTAATATAATATAACTCTGCTTGTTGGCTGCTTGAGCTGCCAAAAGTGAAACATAGTATATTTCTTTATGTACGTCTACAAGAAGTAAGTTAATTTATTTTGCAAATTTATCTGCTACTGGATTTGTTCAGAGTGAGTCTGGCTGAAATTCAGTTTGATAATAATGCAAATCCTATAGTTTCTAAAGGATTCAGAGGTAAGCGTTGCTGGTTTTGAAGCAGACACTGGGTGTGTACCTTCCAATGATAGGAGGTATGGATGAGTGGGCCACACGGGGGTGGCAACAAGTGAGCAGCATGAGTGTGCCACAAGGGTTTGGCAACATGTGGGCAGGGTGAGTGGGCCTCAAGGGGATGTTACAAGTGGGCAGGATGAGTGGGACACAAGGGGTTGGCAACAAGAGGGCAGGATGCCAAAAAATCATTTGCGCTTTGACAACCTGTCTCAGTGGCCCCATTCAGGGCAGACCATCTTCTGAACACTTTTTAAATGTTCAATGCATGGGTTCATTGCTTGTTATACACTTACTCTGTACTGAGTGGGTAAATCAAGACGGGGTCTGGGTTAGCAGGGACTGAACCCCAAAACTGGACTATCCCACTAAATATCCTTGCTGATGGTATTAAATGAGATGCACTTAACCCAATTTCAACAGCTGTGTAATTAGTAGATATGAGAATTACAAATTTGCTTTCAATTAAGTCATTTTAACCAACTATTGTCTATCCAGCCCAAATTTGGTTCTTATTAAACAACAATGACAGGGTTATTCACTAAAAAGGAAGTTGTCAGGAAATCAAAGTGAATTTCTATTTTTGGGATATGATAACCATTTTGGAAAATAACCTCCCAAAATGATGTGTGCAGTTTGGTTAATTTAGATTAAAATCTTAAATTGACCTTTGTGTTTGTTCACTGAGCTCCAAATAGTAAATAATTTGAATCTGAACAATAAAATGTAGGCTACAATAACTGATCTGGAAAAAGAAATCTCCCAAATCACTTGTAATTCATTAGAATTCTAATAGGTAGCGAATACATTCTGAAATCTGAACAATTCAAATAGTAACGCGGATTTTAGAGTAACCCAGTTATTGACATTGTCAGAGTTATTCACTTAAGTGATCTGGAGAATTTTTCCAGTTCCATTGTATGGACCTTAATTTTTGAATTTGCTTTAAAATGTATTTAAATTCCGATCATTTCTCACTTTAGTGAAAACCATGTAAATGTAAGGATTACAGCATCCACTGTTTTTAAATTCTATGAATCCAAAGGAATCAAGTTACTGTTCCGGGCTTGTTCTGTTGATGGCTGGAGCAGAAAACAAATGGTTCCTGTAGATGAGTTAGTTAATATCTGTTCGATATTTTAAAAAAGAAAACACAGTTCAGCAATCTAGCCAGACAGCCAAGTTTAATGTTATCATATCTCTTTGCCAGAAATAACATAATGTTCCCCATCAGTTTTTTAGTCCACAGTAGGCAACTTGCATTACTTAATATTTCCATAGTATTTGAATATGTGCCTCCAGGTGAGGATGTTATGAGCACAGCTTTAAAATTCTATCCTTGTTATATTTATACATTGATAATTACATTACATACGTTACTTTAGGCTTCATATTTTGGGGATTCGCTGTACCACACTTCAAGAATGCTATTCATCAATGTATAGTCAACACGTAAACACACACATCAATATATAGTCAACACGTAGACACACACATCAATATACATTGTAAGTAGGTGATTTGACTATTAACTGCATTGAGAAGAGTATTACTCCAAGCATAGTCACTGTCAAGGAATAATAATAACCAGGTAAGTCATTTTTATATTATGTTTAAGTCTGCCCTCTAGAGGCAAAGAGAGAAAAGCACAACATACAGAAAAGGTTCTGAATGTCTTTTGTTTTACAAAAATATATTTTCAAAATAGTGAAAATTCAAAGTGAACACAAAGTGAATTTCAGACTTAAGGCCAGAGTAGTGGGACTTAAAGCATAGATGACTTAGATAATGTTTAACAGTTCAAGTATTTTGGCTTTCATATCTAAAATTCACTTTGAATTCTCACTTCAGTGAAAAACCCTGGTAATTTCAGATAAAACAGACAAAGTAATACCTGATACCTAAAGCAATTTAATCTAATGTACTGATAGCTGATATCAAAGTATTGAATTAGCAAATTCTTTTTTTTTTTTTTTATCTGTAAACTTTTGAATAATAATGATATCGCAATATTTGACCAGGACACAAAATTCCAAATACATCCGTAGGTTAAGATGTTTTTATTATCCAACTTAATGGTACTCATCTTATTGATCCCAGAAGGACGCATAAGTGGTCAGTTTTTTTCTCCAAATGTAGAACAGATACACATGTAGATACACACACACATACATACATGCATACATACATACATACATACACAGACACACACACATACAGTCACACATAAATACAGACACAGACAGACATGTATACATACACACACACACACATACAGATGCACACACATACATACAGACACACAGACATACAAACACATACAGACACACACACATACACACAGACGCAGACAGACATACACACACATACAGACACACACATGCAGATACACACACATACAGACACACATACATACATACCGACATACATACATACCGACACACTGACAGACATACACACACATAAAGACACACAGACATATACACACATACATACAGATACACTGACAGACATACATATCTTTCCCTGGGGTCTAGTGGTGGCTCAGCCTGATGGGAGTCAGAGTTCCCACTCTGACTGCCTCTCCTTCTTCCCACGCATCTCACAGTGGTTGCTGGGAAGAAGTGACCGGGCAGTCACTTCCTCCCAGCCTCTGATGTCATCACACTGTTAAAGCACTGACCCGGCCCCCTGGAATTACATAGTATCGGGTGGCATAGGAAAGATTTCATGTAACTCCTTGTTTTCCCAAAAAAATCTCTGTGGTTAGCCTGCTTGTGAATATGGATTTTATATTTTTATTTCCATTTTAGAAATCCACATGAAACCAGAAACACATATAAATGTTATTTTTAGCCCACTCTAATATAGTTTGCTATGGTCCCATTAAGCATCTAATCAAGCAATGAAAGGATCATTGTTAAACTTACTTTAGACACCTACGAATATCTGAAAATAAAATGCTGTACTGATTATCCATGTAAATTCATCTTTTAGTTGAGTTAGGCCTCAAGTTAATATTTTTGGAAAAGCTTTACAACTGATTTAATATTATAGATATATATATCTTTGTTTAATTCTTCAAAGTATTAGAATATAAAAAACATATTATACATAAATAAAATCCATAAATAAAATCAATATCAATATCAAAATCTTAAATTAGTTTTCAAAATATTTAATCATTTTAAAAGTTTACCCAAAATATTAAATCATTTGAAAAAATGTATCCCAAAATACTAAATCAAAGCTTTTCAAATGATTTAATACGGTTAAAAAATCTTTCCCGTAGACATTAATGGTGAACTCTGTAGATAAATCATTTGGAAAGTTGTTCTAACAGTATTGAACCTTTAGAAAGCTTATTAAAATTGATGCCTTAATCAATGTTTTAAAGCCAGTGAAATTCACAGATTATACCTTGTTGTACGTAAAATCTCCTTTCCTCTAATCTTGGTGGATAACCTTGTGTAATCAGTACTATTCCACTGGAGATGAAAAGGTGACCAGAGTGAACATTACATGAATAAAGAGATATACAAAAATAGAATGCATTTGTGACCTTGCAGAATTATTTTCCATCTTATCACCTTTATGACTGAGCCTTTTCCAAAATCCCATGTGTTTGTGACTGAATCATTTTTGGTGTTTTTTCTTTGTGTTTGCTCCTCTATAATGCAATGCTTACATAAACATACATATTACAAATTGTATTAACTGGTCACATATGAATATGTCTGCACAGAACAACATGAATTAACTATTCTAACTGTTAAAAATTCTCATACGTTCAGGATTTCAATTAAAGGATTACCCGGTACTCCAACAACAAAAAACAGTGCTTTTTGTTTGCTTGCTGGCACTGACCCCTTTCCTCAAAAAAGGCAAAAAATATAGAATAGCCTCACCTGCAATACTAAACTGAGGCCAAGTTCCCCCTGCAGCCTGATGACATTTCCCCTCCTCACTGTAGGGGATGGATATCCTAAGGCAACACAGCAGGGGGGAACCTGTTACCATTGGTCACTCGTTGCATGTTATATGATGACCACGGACACATTCTACGTACATATTTAAAGGAACACTATAGAGTTTGGAATACAAACATGTATTCCCAATGTTATAATGTCGAGTGACTCTGCTTTGACTTATCACCCAATCCCAAATCTTCTCACAAATAAGCATTAGGGATGAGAAGCACATGTGCATCACTCCTCCAGTCAAATACTTTACATTGATGGCAATTTCACAAAACCACGTCTGGTTCAGTTATGGATGTGGAATCACCCTCTAGTGGCTGTCAGGATGACCGTCATTAAAGGTGTATTGAACACATTGCCAAATCTCCAACCTTATAGATAATTTGAAAGCCTCAGGTCTGATTATACAAACCAATATCATATAGTGTTTACACAAATTTATTAATTGCAAAATTATACACACAAAAAAAAATAGTGGATTTCAACACATATGTGTATAAATCTAAATACAATTTGAAATGGATTTCCACACAATAACAGTACATATAAATAATGCTTGTTATTTTAACACTAAGATCTCATATCCCAGTACTCAAGTGTTTAAAATGCCACTCAACTATAGATCTCAAATATCTGGTGTGATATGGTCTCATCTTCTGTGTCGATGTAATGGAAATATATAGCAAGGTGAAATGATGAGCATTCACTGAAGATCCATTGTTACCGCGATTGTAAAACTATTTTAATGTCTTCTTCTCTTAGGTGAACTGTCTCTGGAAGAATTTATGGAAGGTGTGCAAAAAGACGAGCTTCTACTTGAGGTTTTAACCCGCAGCTTGGATCTCAAACATATTGTCTACATGATCCAAAATGATGGTAAAAGGATGGACCGACTAGATTGCCCCAGACCGGAAATCATTAATGGGAATGAACATGACTGAGCATATTGAACTGGTCTCTGTGTTTGGGTTTTTTTCCCTCCTCCCTTGATTTTGCATGTGAGACACACTTAAACAGTGTATACATCATGGACAAATTGAGGTAACGGGTGGCAACCAAATTCATTTATCCCTTAAAACCTATGAAAGGACTGACATTTTAAAGATGGGTCACAGCCATTGAATTCATCTGATGCCTACACTGGTTTCAACTGGCATGATGGTTGATGATGTTCTAGATGGCAGACATTTGATTCTATCAACCAACAGGCAAATCACATCTTACACCATTATGACACGAGAAAAACTTTGATGATAAATATCATGGTAATTGTTTTTCTGTAGAAAAATCTTCTTGTAATACTAATTCTATTAAAGATGATGTCATCCTTGGTTAAGGACCAAATTCATATCCCTCCACTTTGCCCTGGAATATATATCAATGTTGTTTCCTGGTCAGAGGACTCAGGGAGAAAGTTGTGTCTAGTGCAGTGAACTATTGATTGGTTTGATAGCTCAGTATTAGTAAAGGGTTGTGCTGTAGTTGGGTTGGGTAGACACTGGAGGTGACGCATGCAGCATCAGATATCTCAAAATGTAATTGGGGATTGGGAAATGTCACATGTCATGGAGACAGTATGTGAGTACTGCAAGGTGAAAAAGAAGGATGAATGCTAGCAATAAATAGAGTACATTGATATATTAATTTCCAAATAGGCAGATATAAGTCACTAATATCCATGGACTCCAACTGAACAAAATTAAATTACTAATCCACTAGCTAATTAGTAATGTATAGCATTTGCATTTAGTATAAAGAAAATTTTCCAAAACAAGTCTGAGCAATTCAAATGTTGAAATTAGAATAAAATTTACTCTCCGCATTCACCTGATGTAGCCTTCAGTTGATGCAATACTGTATTAGCTACAGACTAGCTTTATATAGCTTAAAACTGAAGTACTGAACAATTCCTGAATGTGTCCCAACATAAAAATATAAGACCTTTTAATAGTGTCCAGGACACTCAATTTTCCATGAAGAAGGTCCTAGCTCTAGCTACCTCCTAGTACCTCATTCAAAAGGCAGCAGGGTGAGATACGGTAATTGAGTAATAAATATGCCCACATACTCCTTCCCCCAAAATGTGCCATTCCCCTAAAACTATCATTAGCAGAGTGCCAAGTGAGTGCCCAACTGTTCTCTTTCAGGGTTATTTACTAAGGAGAGAATTGTTGTGAATCTAAAGTAAATTTAAAATTTTAGACCCAAATAGGTGAATTGGAGATTTTTTTCCCCAGCATTTTTTGCCTGAGATTTGAAATTCACTTTGAGTTCACTTTGCATTCCCAAGAACTCCTAATTTGGTAAATAAACCCTTTTGAGTGGCTTCCAAAAGGACAAATTGTCTGCAAATTCAATAAATAAAGTCCAAAGTCATTTTGAACACGTGGGGGTAAATTTTAAATTGCCTCTAGTAAATAGACAAATTTAAAAAATGTTTGACACATTCACATATTATTCCTGAATTTTGCAATTTTGAGGCACATTGAGAGCTTAGTTAATAACCCCCAAAATGACTGACTATTTTTTTAAAAATCAACTTTTCTGTCTAAATCTTTTTGTCTGTCTGTTTTTATAAACTATATAATTATTTTGGTGGAGCCTCTTGCGAAAATCTTTAAAATACATCTTTGACAAACACAATATTGGACATTAACCCCTTAATGACACAACTTCTGGAATAAAAGGGAATCATGACGGAATATTTCCGTCATGTGTCCTTAAGGGGTTAAATATTATCATGTATTAAAATGGAAGAGCAATAATTCTGAAAGAATTGGTGAATAAATCCACTGAACAAAATACTCAGGTATGGCAGCCCCAGCCAAATATTAGTCTTTCTACTTGTCATGTCTACATTTATTTGTAAATATGTAACTATGTTGCTTCATTTATAATTAGTTCTATATTTTTGTAATTTAAGATACAAATGTTACTGCAACAATTGCACAAACACATCTATACAAATATTGGCTTGACTGCCATACAAGTAGTTCTTATATTGTTTGTTTAATGACTGTCATGAATTTGATTTGTTTCTATTGTAATGAAGTCTAAAAGAAATAAAAGATAAAATATTCTCACATGTATTATCTAGCATTTATTCACAGAAGATCTGAGCGCCAGGTTTTAATGGTATTATAAAATCTAGTAAATAAGCCTATGGGGCTATTATAAGATAAGCTAAATAAGCCTATGGGGTTATTATAAGATATATTAAATATGCCTACGTCTTTATTATAAGATGCATTAAATAAGCCTATGGGGTTATTATAAGAAAATAATGAAGGTTTTAAACCTAAAAAAAAGGATAGAAGACAGTGAGTACAAACCTACGCACTCGACCATCAAACCTACGCACTCTGCTGGGTGTAACTTCTAGTCTTCAGTACCGCAAGGAGACTCCAGGGGTCTCCAGGGGCTTAACCCCAACATTTAAAACCTAGACAAAAAAACAGGAGCAAAGATGCTACTGGTCTCAGTGCAAACAAAGCCCTGAGATCAGGTACATCACCTGGATATATATATATATATATATATATATATATATATATAGCAATGTAGAATCCGGGTAATAATGTACTGGCTAATATATCAAAAAATTATATCTGAATAGTGAGTAAAGTAAGTGAAAAATAAAGTATATACAAGTGTAATTAATGCAACTATGCAACCAGGATATGAGCCAGGTAAGGGTAACTCACATATATGTATAGGGATGTGATCCAAGGTACTAAAAGATATATCTTTATTGAAAAACTGACTTAAAAGAGAAAAATCAGCCCCAATGTATTACCCCTATCCCTGGTGTATCAAGGACACTCCTCTTAGTGACACTGTACCCTATAAGGTGGAATTTCAGAATCTGTACTCACAGGTTGAACAAAATATATAGTTTGAGGAATCCAAAGTGTCTCTGTAGTAGTTATAAAAAGAGATTGATTTTTCTCTTTTAAGTCAGTTTTTCAATAAAGATATATCTTTTAGTACCTTGGATCACATCCCTATACATATATGTGAGTTACCCTTACCTGGCTCATATCCTGGTTGCATGGTTGCATTAATTACACTTGTATATACTTTATTTTTCACTTACTTTACGGTCTCACTATTCAGATATTTTTCGATATATTAGCCAGTACATTATTACCTTGATTCTACATTGCTATATATATATCCAGGTGATGTACCTGATCTCAGGGCTTTGTTTGCACTGAGATCAGTAGCATCTTTGCTCCTGTTTTTTTTGTCTAGGTTTTAAACCTTGCTATGCCCCCATCTGCTACTTCTTCCCCAGCAGAGGCGGCTCTCTAATTAGGCGGCCGCCTAAGGCCTCTTGCTGGATGGGGCCTCGCGACCGCCTAAACCACCTGTGGGCAGACTGTGTCAGGTCCTCCGTCACCAGGAGGGGGCCCGGCGGCTTACCTGGTATGCCACCGGGTGCGAGGCCCCTCCTGGCTGCCCGGCCAGCAGTGAGCAGAGCTGCAGACCATGTGTCTCGCGAAAACGGGCCAATCAGAGTGGTTACCACAGCAACGCTCTGATGGTCTTGCGAGATTACATGGTCTGCAGCTCTGCGGAGCTGCAGACCGGAAGCAATGGCCACCGGATCACCAGGGAGCCCAGGGAAATTAAGGTAGGTTCTCGCTCACCCCCCACCACCCACACCACCCTCAGCCTTACCACCCCCCACCACCCTCAGCCTCACCACCCCCAACCACCGTCAGCCTCACCACCCCCTTCACCACCCTCAGCATCACCACCCCCCACAACCCTCAGCATCACCACCCCCACCACCCTCAGCCTCACCAGCCTCACCATCAGCCTCACTCACCCCCAAAACCCTCAGCCTCGCCACCACCCTCACCACCCTCAGCCTCACCCCCACCACCCTCAGCATCACCCTCCACCACTCCCAGTATCACCCTCCACCACTCTCAGCACCCTCTCACCACCTCAGCATCACCCCCAACCCTCAGCATCACTCCCCAACCCTCAGCATCACCCCAACATCACCCCTCCTTCACATCACCCCTCCTTCTCATCTTCACCCACCTCCTTCTCTTACATCACCCCCCTACTCTCACATCACCTACCCTCCTTATCACATCACTCCCACTCACATCACCCTCACTCACATCAACCCCACGCCACATCACCCCCACTCACTCTCCATCACCCCTCCTCGCCATTACTACCCCCTCACTCTCACATTACCCCTCTCACTCTCATATTACCCCCTCTCACCATCACCCCCCTCTCCCTCTCACCATCACCCCCCATACACACAACACACTTCAAGCAGCTACCCCATACACATACGGTCTCAGACAAAAACGCAAACATGCTCACAGAGACATACATTCACACACACAAGGATACTCTCTGTCAGACACACTCTCAGGCACATACACAGGTAGACAGTGCCTCAATGTGTATATGTGACACTTTTTTTGTTAGTGGGGCCTCATGTTTGAGTTTCGCCTAAGGCCTCATAAAGTCTAGAGCCGCCTTTGTTCCCCAGGCACTAGAAAAGCCACATCCCATCGGGGGCAGGGGCTGGACAGTGATCTTGCATGTCAGAGCGCTATAATGATAATTCTGATGAGAATTACAAGCCAACCAATAGGAGCACTCTAATGATAATTCAAAGCATTGGTAAGATTTTATAAAAGCTTTTTCCACTTTATTCTGCACAGAGCCCTTGTGTTGCAAAGTTAGATTTGCTTTTTTGCCAGAGCCTGTGCCAACATTTTTGGCTACACAGGTAAGATGCATTTTGCCCCTTCACCTGCCTCCCCCATTAATCCTCCAAAAATGCTTCTGTGTTTCCCCTAATCCCACTATTAAATTGCTTACCCCCTTTTGTGTTTCTTATCCTCTCTTTTGAATGCCTTGGCCCCTTTAGTATATCTTGTCCTTTTGTCTTGCACTCCCATTTAGTATATCTTATCCTCTTGTATATTCCCTTTATGTAGCTCTTAAACCTCCCCCCACCTTTGTGTGTGTCTTTAACTTCCTTCCAGCCCCTTTGTGTCTCTTTCTACCCCAGCCCCCTCCCCAAAATGCTGCTTCAGCTATGTGTCCCTTGATCCCACTCTTGAATTTCTTAAACCTTTTGTGTTTCTTATCCTCTCTTTTGAATGTTTTATCCCCCCTTTTACCTTTATGTGTCTCTTAACCCCCCTTGTGTGTCTCTTACTTCCCTCCAGCCCCTTTGTGTGTCTCTTTCTACCCCAGCCCCTTTGTGTCTCTTTCTATTCCAGCTCCTTTGTGTCAAACATTTTTGGCTACACAGGTAAGATGCATTTTGCCCCTTCTCCCCTCCACCCCCCATTAATCCTCCAAAAATGCTTCTGTGTTTCCCCTAATCCCACTGTTGAATTGTTTACCCCCTTTTGTGTTTCTTATCCTCTCTTTTAAATGTCTTACCCCCATTTTTCCCTGTATGTGTCTCTTAACTCCCCTTGTGTGTCTCTTACTTCTCTCCAGCCCCTTTATGTGTCTCTTTCTACCACAGCCCCTTTGTATCTCTTTCTATTCCAGCTCCTTGGTATCTTTCTCACCTTCCTCAGCATTTCTGTGTGTCTCTTTCCCTCCTCAGCCCATTTGTGTATTTCTTCCCTTCCCCATCACCTCTGTGAGCCCCTTTCCACAGCCCCTTTTGTGTATTTTTCTCCCCTTACTCACTCCCTCAGTCACTTATTCCCTTCACCCCCTTTTGTGTGTTTATTTCTCCCCTTCTCCATCCGCTCAATGTCTCTTTATCCCCCCCACATCTGTGTCTCTTCCCCCAGCATTTTGTCTTTTTCTCCACACAGCCCCTCTGTGTCTCTTTGTTGTCGATCCCCCCCACCCCCCCACATGTTTCTTTTACCTAATCACAGTGATCTGTCCATCCCCCATTATTTTTTCTCTTTAAAATCCTCCACCCAATCCCATGGGGAATGAGCCTTTTTAGGGACTGGGCAGCAATGGCAGCCTGGTCGTAGTTTTAAATATTTAGGAGATAGTGCTTCAACTGCTGCATTAAGATGTGTAAAACCTCCTTTAAAGTAATATAGGGAGGGCCAATCCTGGGTGGGTGCACGGGGTGCTCCGTGGCCAGGTGTCGGAAGGCGGGGGCGCACCGACAGCAGTCCTGTCTAAGGGGCCCAGTGGACGGCCACCTTAGGGGGCCCCCGGTGCAGCAATTATTTAGTAAAGCAGAGTAGACACCTGCTTACCTGGATGACAGGTGCCTACTCTGCCTATATATGCCGGAGGGGGGAGCAAACAAGAGTTAGATTTGCTGGTCTTCCTGACTCCTTCCTTGCATGCCCTGTGATGCTGGGAGCCAGAATATGACATCATTCCGGCCCCGGCAAACTAAACAGCGTGGGGTAGGAGTGAGGAACTGCAAGATTACTGCCTTATACTGGACCCCCCGGAGAGGTAGGGAGGCTGGATGGGCCTCAAGCAATAAAATTATTTTGTTAGAGTGTGCAAGAATGTGTGAGAGTGTATGTCTGTCAGTGAGTGTGTCTGTCAATGAGTAAGAAAGTGTCTGTCAGTGAGTGTGTGTGTCTATCAGTGTGTGTGTGAGTGTGTTTATCAGTGAGTGCATGTGTGTCTGTCAGTGAGTGTGTGACTATGACTTGAAAATGGCTCAGAGAGGAGCCAAAACGTTGTCTCTACTTTCTTGTTTTAAATTAAAGACTGCCTTTTAGAAGATACTTCAGGTGTGCCTGGATATTTATTTTCTTCCATTTGATGTCTTTAGGGATTGGCCCTCCCTTTCTGGAACACCATGCATGGAGTATTCCTCCTTTTTTAGTGTGTGCATTACACTCTCTTTTTTTTTGCAAACATCTGTCAGTATGTTTGTCTGTCAGTGTATGTGTGTATCTGTCAGTGTGTGTCTGTCGGTCAGTGTGTGTGTTTGTCGGTGACTGAGTGAGTATGTCTGTCAGTGAGTGTGTCTATCGGTAAGTGTGTGTCTGTGTGTGTTTGTCTGTCAGTGACCAAGTCTTGCATGTGCTTGAGACCAGGTCTATGTTCGAAGAATTTCCCTGAACATAGACCAGCTCACAAGCACAGGAAATCCCTTGACTCTATGCTCAGGGGAATTCCTGACACTCAAATTCGGGGATTACCCGCACTAGAGAGCTAGTCGTAAGTCCAAGCAGTCGTTAAACAGGTAAGTCGTTAAGTGAGGACTACCTGTACTTTCAGTTGAAACAGTGCAATGAACTATGACTGTTTCTGTTCTGCACAGCTGTGTATTCACCACAAGGCTGACAAGGATTTTGCCATGGGCGGTATTTTCTGGGGGGCGACAAAAAAGCCGCTCCCCAATCGCCCTGGCAAATGCCTTGCCAGCTTCTTGTCCTGGGGGCCCAAGAGCTGGCTGGCTGGTCCCTCAGGGCCACCCGAGGCTGGCATGCACTGATACAGGAGGCGGGTGGCGAGGGAGCGCTCTCCCCTTCTCAGCTCCCTCACGCACACCGCACGGATACCGGAGCTAGAATATAACGTTACTCCAGCTCCGGCATCACTAAGAGGTGTGTGAGGGAGCTCAACAGGGAGATCAGAGCTCCCTCGCCACCTCCACTATGAGCTAGCCTGCCTGCCTGACCGCCCGTGTGCCTGCTAGTCCTGCCAGCAGCATCCCAACTGGACCCCAGGGAAGAATACACTCCAGCACTCCCAAAAGGTATGGAGGTTGGGTGGACTGAATAATTTTTTTTTTTTTAAATAGATTGTGTCTCTGTTAGTGAGAGTGTTAGTGTGTGTCTGTTAGTGAGAGTGTTAATGTGTCTGTTAGTGAGTGTGTTTTGTTAGTGAGTGTGTTAGCGTGTTAGTGAGTGTGTTAGTGTGTCTGTAAGTGAGTGTGTTAGTGTTGGTCTGTTAGTGAGTGTTAGTGTGTGTCTGTTAGTGTTTGTCTGCTAGTGAGTGTGTGAGTGTGTGTGTTAGTGAGTGTGTCTGTCACTGAGAGTATATATGTTTTTGTCAGTGAGTGTGTGTGTGTTTGTCAGTGTGTGTATCTGTCACTGAGTGTGTGTCTATCAGTGTGTGTATGCGTGAGTAGGTGTGTATGTGTGTTTCAGCATGTGTATCCGTATCTGTCAGTGTATGTATGCGTGTCTGTCACAGAGTATGTGTCTGTCAATGAATGTGTATGTGTGTCTGTCAGTCAATGTGTGTGTCTGACATTGAGTGTATATATGTCTGTCAGTGAGTGTTGTATATGTGTGTTTATCAGTGTGTGTATCTGTCAGTGAATATATGTGTATACCAGTGTGCATGTCTGACATTGAGTGAGTGTGTCTGTCAGTGAGTGTGTATGCATTTCTGTCAGTGTGTCTGCATGTGTGTCTTGTCAGTGAGTGTGAGTGTGTCTGTCAGTGAATGTGTATGTTTCAGTGAAAGTGTGTGTTGGTTAAACAGTGTGTGTGACAATGACTGTGTAACTGTAAGTGAGTGTATGTGTCTGTCAGGAAGAGAAATTTGGAGGGGGTGCCCAAGTTTTGTGCAGCACAAAACCAGAATATACCACTGGTTCTGCAGTGTACAAACTGGAATATAGTATTAGAACCGTACAATCAGTGAAACACACAAACTTATTGTATTGTTAAAAAGCAACTTTTATTTAATTCCGTATTGCAGAATTTGCATGATTCCACCCATGAACAAGAAAGCCATGCCCTGAGTAAAGATCCATACTATTATTATTATTATTATTATTATTATTATTATTATTATTATTATATAATCAATAAGTTTGTGTGTGTGTGTGAGAGAGAGAGAATCAAGTTCATGTGGACAGAAACAAGAGGTTAGGAAATCCTTGTTCTAACAATCTAGACTGAGGAAACTGGAGATTATAAATAGGAAGAAGAACAATGTATCAAAAGAGAAATCACCAGATATGATACAAGAGTATCTTATTAAGGTGGACGGTGACCAAGTAAAATGGACTGTGCATGGTCTAGTCACATGATGTACAAGAGGAGTGTGAATAGGATTAGATATCAAGCTTTACTAATGATGAGACTTAATGGATTTCTTGAAGGGCTGTAGATTAGGTAAAAGTCTGATGAGATAGTACATTCCATGGGAATGGTGTTGCCTTTGAGAAGTCTTGTAGGCGTAGATACTGAAAGACAGAAAGACAATGTAAAGATCGGCAAAGGGGGAGGTAGGAAAGGAAGAAAAGCCTGGAAGCAGCATAAATTATAGATTGTAATTATGGCAGTGGTAATGTGGTATTGGGATCGATAAGGAGTGTTTGAAGAGAATGAATGTTCACACTTTATCTAGTTTCCACTCCACTATACTGATCTGTTCCTACCAAGAACAGGCAATCTCTGTACTGCTAAGAACCATGCCATTGTTCAAAAGGACTTGCAATGTCCAATGCCGCCGTTAGAGCCACCCTACGTTGTGCATGTGTCTCTGTGCATGCAGGTCAGAGTATGCCGATTTACCATGTCAATCAATGTATGCCTAATTGTGTATTATTATGCATTTATGTATGCATATTAGACACACCAGGGGGTGGGTCTTCACAATTATCTCGCCCACGGTCATGCAAATAGTAAGGATGTTGTGGTGATGTGTATCACATGTATCCTACCTCCATTGTGCTTGTTATAGTCATATATACAAGCTAATTCCCTGCCAGAGGGTTCTGTGTCTTCACTAGGCCCATTTGACCAAAAGAGTACAAAGAATGGGGCTTTATTTCTGTACAATGTTATCAAAGTGCAGAACAGAAGCTCAGTATACATCTAATCCGAACACTGTTCAGACATATTACACACAGAAGCAGAATACCAGTTCCATTTGACCAGGTACAATACACAATAATACAGAAACGTACAATGAACGACCTAATGAAGACCCATTATATTATATAATAATTTGCTATATGTTTAATCACAATGTTTTGCTTTATCTTTCTCCATATTATCCACACCAAGGAGACGAACAGTCATGAGCAGATTAGCAGCAAACATGTTAAATTCACTTGGTTCCACTAGAGGGCAGTCCTGGTATACAGTCAAGTATACAGTCAACATACATGACATGTTAACCTTGTGCCTATACTACTGATATACTTACATCAATGCCTATTCTGCTGCCTGATTTGTCCATACCTTTAGGATTGCTCATTCCTCACATCCATACACATGCATGATTTCATAGTGACACATCAATACACATACATATAGATATACCTAGTTTAAATATCACAAGAGCTCATGCGTAAACATCCTCAGTGAAACTGAGATTACAGTGGGAATGCAGATGCATTGTGCTAATATCACTGGAAACAAATGCACAGATTAAGAGAAAACAAAATATGTTACATTTGTGGGCATCTGCCATCATGTCACCATTGTACACTGTACACAAATTAATGAACTATTTTTTGATATTTTTATTTCCATAAATTGCAGCATGGATCTTACTGATGAGAAATATTGATGTCCTGTATTGTGGGTGGGAGATATTGGAACCGTGTATTTATTTAAAATGTCTCCCCTACCAGTCTCTCTACTTATTCTCAGTTTCATAAACTTCTCAGACCCTGTCTATCCCATACCCACTGTATTTTTCCATCTCCCCTGTCCTATTCATCCCCCCTTGTGTAATTCACCCCACATCCCTCTCAAACACCATTCTTCTAAGCCCCAGCACTTTTGTCCGAGTCCACTACTATTAGTCTCACTCCCTTTTCTTCTCAGCCTAATCAAACCAATCTCCATCACATTATGTTGTCCTTCTCAGTTCCTCAATCTCCTTCCCCTGCCACCTCTAACCAGCACCAGTCATCACGTCTGGTAATTCTCAAACGCTTGAAAGCAATCTTAACCCCCTATCAATCTCTGCTAGTCTATTGTGTCCCTTTCTGACTTTACTACACAACTCAGCCCACTCTATGAACCTTAGTCAATCATCTTTCTCCTATTTTAGCAGCTGATGCTTGGAGTGAAGAGCCAAGGACACGTTCAGTAGCAATGACTACTTATTGGCTTACTTTGACCTGTCAAAGCCTTCTACATGGCAAAGCATTAGTAAACAATTTTGCTATCACTGGATTTCCATACAAGCGCTTAATTAAGGAGTACCAATTGCCCATTACCAGGACCATGGTCAGTGTCTCTCTTCCAGCAACCCTTGCTGGCAGGAGTTGTATATTTTAGATTTTAAATGATCATCTATTAATTATTATTATTATATATATATATAAAATGCCTATGTATTCCTTGGTGCTGTACACTGGGTAAAATAAAAATATGTGTAGACATGTAGGAACAAGAGGCAATAAGTGTTCTACTCAAAATTGAGCTTATGGTTTAAAAAAATCATAAAGTGATGATAGGCATGACTTTTGTACACTAGCACCTGCTTATCTGCATTTCCCAAGACTGAAAGTGAAGAGTTTGGACCACTGTAGGTTTCCATAGAGTTTAGTATTGATGACTTGGTGCGTTGTGCATTAATCCAGATCAAAGTAACAACTGTGGATCACAAAATAAATATCTCAGGACAGTAATGAGTAATTCAAACTGTGTATAATCAAGCTCCGATACTTAAAATCCAAGCAAACGCAGCAGGTGCTATGTTCCTCCACCACCTACAACAACTTCCTGTTATGATATTCACATCCTCGACAAGCAGCAGGAGCTAAGGAGCCAGAATGGTTTAAAATAGAGCACTCTTCCTTCTTTGCTCTGTTATCCAACTCCCAGGACTCACATCCATCTGCAGCATTTTCATCACCCACTTGTCCTTCCGAGCACCATCAATAAATTCATCCAATGATAGTTGGCCTGCAAAAGAAAAACACCTATGTAAGACATTAATTGTTTGGAAGATATGATAATCACGACGCTCGAAAAAATGCAAAAACAATACTATTACGGACGTAGTTACCGTGTATAATATTAGGAAAGGACAGGCAAGGAACCAGGCTGTGAGGGAAGCGATGGCAGATAAAATGGCTGAAAGAGTGAATGGTTAAAAAGGAAACAGGGGGAAATATCTTGATTAGAGACGGGTATTAGGGAATGAAGGACCTTTTGTTTTGTATAATACCTTTTTGCATACTATTATTATTTTGAAACAGATAAATAATTATACAGATATAAAAACAGACGTCATTGCTGTAAGGTCTGTTTAATATTTTCTTTATTTGCAGATTACGAATGTTGGAAGCCATTTCTGGTGCCCAAATACACAAACCTCTGAACTTACAATTATTTTGGTGGGAGAGGTGGCCAGTCTTCTATAAGCATTAATTACCCTTTCTCCCAGGGGCTCTCAAGTCCCTTACTCCCACCCCCGCTTACCATCCAGGGATGGCATTTATTAGCTTAACATAGGGCCCTGCTTCCTGCTCAGCCCAAACTGTTAAAACACATAGTGACTGAGAGCAGAGAACTGATGATTACATAGAGTAGTGTGCATATATTAAAGTTGACTTGCAAAGCCTTGTTCAAGGATTTCATGACTGCATAAAATTAATAGATTGTGTCCATCTGTCAGCCCACTGCTTCATTAGTTATACAACCTTCTGGGTCACTCTCCAGTGAGAAGTCCACTGAATTCCCCTAATCAACACTCCCAAAATGTACTCTCTTCCAGGGTGGGGGTGGGCTGTGCCTGCACTTTACACCACACAGACATACATGCCATTAAGGACCTATGCCACCACAGAACAGCAATCAATTGAAGGACTTTCTCTCCTCGAAGTAGCATACTAAATTGCCAAATTAGCTGCTCAGTGACATTCCTTCTTCTACTATTATTGTCTCTTGAAACATCCATTTGACCTTTTTGGATATATTTGACATGTTCTGACGTGCCTCTGTGGGAATGTCAGTCTTTCTTTTCGATTTTAAGCTTGACTCGCAACCAGGAATGTTTCTGGCCACAGATTTAAATCCCATCCCTGACAGTTTGGCTTGTATGGCATTTACTGACTTCCATATTGTACTATAGTATTTTTTACCTTGGTTAATTTGCATGTGTCTTTTTACTTTAATACTGTGCCTAAATCTCATATCATGCACCTAGAGCACTCTACTGATCTAACTTGGCACGTTCTTTTAAGTTATTTTGTTTAATTTGGAAGCTTCCCAGTGGGGTGCCACATTACATTCTCACTGCCCTTAGTATTAATTTCTCTTTGTGCACACATCAAATTATTGTATACTTGCTTACCAGCTGCCACACGTTATGGATAACTTATTTACATGTTGTTGTTTGTTGTCTGAAGTTGCCTAGTGAGAATGTTGTTTGTATGAGGGTCACTGTTTTATATTTCAACCTCGAGTTTACCTTAACACTGGCCTTTCCGCAACATGCTAAAGGTAACCAGGTTGTTGCTTTACTATAAGTATACTTGAATACATTGTTTATGTCATTATGTCAGTGTGTCAGAAATCATGCCAAAACTACATTTTTTTTTTTATCATGCTCTGATTTTCTGACTCTTGTTTACTCTGTTGGTAAAAAAATATATTTGAATGAAAAGGGGAAGGGGTGGGGGGGGGGGAGATTTTACCGAATATGTTTGGCATTTCATAAACTTAACTGTTGTGGATTGATTACTTACCCTTAAAGGACCACTATAGGCACCCAGACCACTTCAGCTTAATGAAGTGGTCTGGGTGCCAGGTCCAGCTAGGTTTAACCCTTTTTTCTATAAACATAGCAGTTTCAGATAAACTGCTATGTTTATAAATGGGTTAATCCAGCCTCTAGTGGCTGTCTCATTGACAGCCGCTAGAGGGCTTCCACGCTTCTCACTGTGATTTTCGCAGTGAGAAGACGCCAGTGTCCATAGGAAAGCATTGAGAATGCTTTCCTATGGACTGGCTGAATGCGCGCGCGGCTCCTGCCGCTCATGCGCATTCAGCCGAAGAGGAGGAGAGGAGGAGAGGAGGAGGAGAGCTCCCCGCCCGGCACTGGGGAAAGAGGTAAGTTTAACCCCTTCCTCTCCATCCAGCCCGGCGGGAGAGGGACCCTGAGGGTGGGGGCACCCTCAGGGCACTATAGTGCCAGGAAAACGAATATGTTTTCTTGGCACAATAGTGGTCCTTTAAACATGGATGTATAATTTGTTATATTATGTTGTGTTTTGCTATGTATGTATTCCTTTGAATAAATTGTCTTATAATATATAAGTAGATACATTTATGGAATGTGTACATGTCAGCACTTCAGTTCACACAATGGACACATTTTAAGAACACACGTGTGTCAGATGGAAGAAGGTATCTGCATTTATACTGGCCTCTATCCACAGTGTAAAATGGCAGGTACATTAGACAAAGTCTAGCATTGGTTGTTAACCCTAAGATTACTTACCATCTCCATTCTCATCTACCAACTGGAATATCCTATCCACTACTTCTTCAGGTGAGAGTAAGGGAATTCGATCATCCTGCCCCTGACGGCACACCTTCTTCAAGTTATAAATAGACTGAAACAAAAGTAGAATAATTCGAGTATGCACAGTAGATCATAATATTTCAATATCTGAAGGAGAGCAGAACAATAAGTCACCCTGGCATAGTACACCAAGATTTGAATCTATTTATTGTTTTTTTTTTTATAAGAATACCATATTAAAGGAACACTATAGTCTTAGGAATACGCCCCTGCATCGAAAAGGTTAAATAACCGTTTCTTTCGCTCACGTCTACGCTGGCTCCGTCTCCATCTCGTCCGACGTCAATGCAGGGGAAACCTAAAGCACATCAGTGCTTTCCTATAGGGATTTTGAGGATGTTAGTTATTTTATAATGCATGCCATATTTTCTGTAACAAAACAGATTTCTCAGTAGCTCCTTCATGTTTTATGCCAGAAAGGCAAATTCACACCTATTTTGGGGTCTTTTCTTACATTGATAATTCTAAAAAAAAATATGTAAGCAGAGAAAAGCTAAAACATTTTGGACCTTCTAAAAACATTGTAAAAAATACTAAAAATAAAGGACACTTTTCAGAAGATTTAAACCTCCCCATTTCGTCTTTATTTAAAGGTACATTTTAAGCACCAGAAGGACTACAGCTTAAATATTATTACTTATAATTTGTCAACAATACAATTATATATTTATAAAGCACTGTACGATATGCAGACTAACAAACAAGTAGTTGCAACAAGACAAGATGGATTGGACATACAGGAACAGAAAGTTGCTCACACAAGCTTACATTCTATGGGGAGTGGGGTAAAATGACACAAGAGGTAAGATTTATTTCATGTATGAGGAAAGTAGGTTGCTAACAAAATGTACGAGTGTGAAGAAATCCCCTTTTATTACACTATTTTCTGCCTATTGCATTCAACAGATGTAACAAAGACCGCCCCCCTGGCTCGTTAAACATCAAAGACTGATTCAATTGATGCCTCTGTCTGTGCGGCCAGCGTTCGTACTGCCGAAGAGAAAACCGCGGCCATCTTTGTTCATGCGAACAAAGGCAGCGGGACTTGGTCGTCAAGTGTATGGAACTGAAATCAGACACTCGACTTCCCGAACACCGGTCTCAAACAGACGAACGCTGGAACTCTACTTACCAAATAGCTAGAAGAGCGCTATTTGGTACTTTGGTGCATTCGACAGAGGGGAACGAATGCTGCTAAGAGCCAGGGGGATCCATTTGGTACTTTGTTCGCTTTTCTCCTTTTTCTAAAGTGACCGGCAAAACCCACCAAACTCATGGAACTGTTTTGGGCATACAGCCCAGGGTGAGCCGGTCACAGAAGACCTCCATAGTTTTTGAGAACCCGTGAACCGATCTGGGTGAAATTCGGATATGTTGGTCACCCAGACCAGGGCTATCAGGGGACATGTTATTTGTGGGGATACTCCAAGTATAAAGGGGTGTTCCAGTTATTGGGGAAAAATTAGATTTTTCTGCCTGGAGATAATCAAGTTATTATTTTATCAGACTTAATTATCTCCAGAGCTAGGGGAGGGAACTGTAGGTGTGTGTTATGTTTTTACAGTACGTGATTGGTTAATCTTTGTCCCTCCCTGAGGGATGTCCCCTTGCATGAGGACTTGCATAAAAGCCTGTGTGCACCCATTAAAAGTTAGTTCAGTTGTACCCTTCTTCTTGACTTCAGCTGATGTTTGGGGATTCGTGTGTTTCACTAAGGGAATCATCTTGTGAAGCTATTGGGATTACTATATGGTTCGTCTACTTTATCTACCGAACATAGGGCTATAATCACTAAGGCTCTGGCGGTTCAGGAGGAAACTACCGAATGAGGTTTAAATACACTTGGTTTCCTTACAACGAGTACTTAGTTTTTTAGATCACACAGTTGCAGGACAGAAGATGGGTTAGTGAGATGTGGGCAGGTTAACAGTTTAATTGGAATGCCTTTTTGATGAAGTGAGTTGTTAGTGATTTTTTGACAGAAGACTGGGTCAGAGTCTAATGGAGCAAGAAAGGGAGTAACATAGGAATGGTGGAGCCATAAAGAAGTCTTGAAGATTAGAGTCAGAGGTGTGAGTACGTACAGAGGATAGTGATTCTGGAGCAAAGAGACTGTCCCTGTAGGCTGACAATTGTAAACATTGCCTTTTATGAGAAAAGTAGTGTTTACAGTTGTCCCTAAGGTCACCTCTACTGGATGTCACTCAGACAGCCACTAGAGGAATTTCCTGGCGCTCTGCATGAAAACACTGAACACTTCCCATATCTATAATGAGATGCTGATTGAAGCACTAGAGTGCAATGCTTCCTGATTTTGATGCAAAAAGCTCCAATATGCACTCTGTTTATACACCCAGATCCCTGTGTATCTTGTGATGTCACACCGGTCCACGTAAATCCAGCAATGTGGGTAGCCCATGTTTTGGCATCACTATGGACGCAGGCCTATAGGAATGTACTTAGAGCTATCTAAGATTACTCAGGTCTTTGTTACCCGAGAGTACGTTTTTGACCCTCTCTGTGTTTTTATGGTTTGTGACTTGGTTTATCGACTATTTTGATCTCTGGAATACTGTACCTTAACTCTGTTCCTTGTTCATCTGAATTGCTGTACTCCATAACATTGGCTGTCTCTGTTTATGCTGTTGTTTAATTTTTAGGTATATATACTTTGCCACATTAAGCCCAGCCACTCTAAGGACCAGTAATATGTGTTCTCTATCTAGTATAGGACATCCTGTGTCTTAGGTCTGCATGTTGCGGTATACCTGTCAAGACATTTTGAATTGAAGATCTTAGCCAGGGAAAAAGCTGGAGCTGTGGGGAGGCCCAATAATCTAAATCATCCCTAGATCTACTCAAATGTAGAAATATATATGTTTATATTTCTAATGTTATAGAGTTCCTTTAAATGATGAATCTGCGTACATTTATCAACAGCATAAGTTGATAGCACAATAAACTACAACACAGAAAAGTTAAAGGATTAATGTTATAATGGTTTGACAATATGTTCTTGTGTTAAAGTGTACCTAAAAATAGTAAAAGGACGACGTATCAATTTTAGGGACTATAATTTAATACTAGCTTTATTGCTAGAAAATGTACAAAGTAAATTAAACTACAAAATTTAGTCTTTAGCCTTTGCCTTTGTCACATACATGTAGGTAAAATCTCTATACCAAGGAATGCATGTTTCCTCCTATAATCATAGTTTCATGGCGGGTGCAAGTCATCACCTGGAGCTAGCCACAGCACGTTTTAGATAAGTATATCTTTTCAATCTACATATTTGCTTATGATTTTTCCAGTGCGTAGATTGAATGCATAAATTGACCTTTTATCACCACACCTATCGTTAAAGAATTTAAAACAGCTCTTTCACCTCTCAGTACTTTATGAAGTATTGATGGTCACAAGTAATTGCTAAGGGATTCTGGCATTGTCTCGCTCATTGTGAGACCTGATCTATGGACCCTCCATATATCTCAATGTTGTACGCACATTTGTGAGAATACAGCACTGACATGGCTTCTAGCAGTGCTGATGTAGCTCCATGAAGCACCAGCAGTTAAAGAAGGCCTAGAGCACTCACTGTGCTGGGAGGAAGTGATTAAACTCCACTTCCTTCTGGCTCACAGACAGTAGCACAGGGGAGCGAGAGATGAGGCAGCATGGGCAGCTGACAAGACGGGTCAGTAGGAGAGGTGGGGTGTGATGCTCTGTCTGGGAACTCAAAAGAGAGACTGGTGCAGGATTTAGATAGCGAGTGAGCAGAGACTGATCTGCTCCCTCATATTGCCAAATATACTGTACCAGAGCAGCAAGCCACAAAAATTTTAAGTGTGCAATAGTGTGTAACTGACTGTCTGTATGTATAACAGTGTGTGTATATGTGTAACAGTGTGTGTGTATAAGTGTAATAGTATGTGTATATCTGTAGCAGTGTGTATATATGTATGTATACACACACACAAATACATATACATGTGTATATATATATATATATATATATATATATATATATATATATATATTTGTGTTCGGGGCATTCTCATATGATATAGAATAAGATGGGTTGTAGAGATGTAGCAAATGCAGTGGTTCGTTGATTTGTACATGAAATGCGATAATGTCTAAGAAGCCTGTAGTACACCAAAAGACCGGTAGGGGTCAGTGTGTAGGCGCAAATGCAGTGGTTCGTTGGTTTGTACATGAAATGCAATAATGTCTAAGAAGCCTATAGTACACCAAAAGACCGGTAGGGGTCAGTGTGTAGGCAAAAAAATTTTATTTTGTTTGTAGTTTTAACCCAACAGATTTTAACCCAAAACAGATTTTACCCAAAACAGATTTTACCCAAAACAGATTTTACCCAACAGATTTTACCCAACAAATTTTACGCAGCAGATTTTACCCAGCAGATTTTACATGAACAGCTAGGTGAGTATAAGCTAACGAAATAACCGTGCAAAGCGAAAGGAAACCGTAAAGTGAGGACCCGTGCTGTGCTGAACGCCGTGGGAACTAATCCTGGTGCGACAGGTGGGTCAACTTATGGTTTGAGAGTCCCTGAGACACCAAATGCGATGCTGACTGGAGAGAAAGCCACTGGATTAATGGAAAGCCCTGCTGCAGGATTCCTGGACACAGCTTGGAGTAGAAGACCTCATGGAGCAGAGGTGAAACCAAAATGGCGTCTTGTATGACCTGGAAGTGGATCTCATGCAAATGCTGACCTTGAACAGTCTATCCGTCTGACCAACAAAGGTAAGTAGGGAAAGGGGGGAGTCCCTTTTATAGGTCTATAGCCCCTCCCACAACTTCAGGCCATGCCTTCCAATATATAAATATATACACATATATATGTGTGTGCACGTGTGTACAATTTGCTGAGGGTGGTCCAGCAAAGGGCGGTGGTGGAGGCCCATCGGATCATTTTGAGTCTCGGCAGGGCTTTTAGATCAGTGTCCCGGTCGCCCTTTAACAGGACCAGACTCTTGTCAGAGTGTTACCCCACCACACACACAGAGCCTGCTGGGAGCTAAGCAGAGAGGTAGGAGCAGGCACACACACAGTAGGGAAGCTATAAACTATGGCTAAAATGTTGTTAATTGTTACTTATATGTGTGTATGTGTACATGTGCTGTGTGTGTCAGTTTGTATGTGTACCTGTGTCTGTACATAACTGAGTGTTTGTGCATATCTATGTCAGTGTGTGTGGCAATGCATTCATACCAGCACTAAAACGGCAACACTGCACACAAATATACCCCAGCATTCAACATCAAAAATGTATGTAAACATTCCCCTGCGTTGAAACACCCACACCACAAATACAACCCTGCAGTCAAGCACGCAAACACAGTCCTGAATTCAAATGCCATTACTTAAAAAAAAAAAAAAACAACACCATTCAAACGCACACACTTTACCCAAACACCAACACACATATATACTAGACATGTGTAATTCGTTTTGGTCCGAATGTCAATTCGGACCATTTCGGGCAATTAGGACATTCAGGTACTTCCGAATGTCCGAATAGATGAATTGCCGAAGTACCTAATGGTTGAAGTCCTGAAATTCCGAAATTACCAAATTTCCGAAGTGTCGAAGTGCAGATGCACAGTATTGCCTAAGAACTAATATACTTACCCAGTGGAAGAATGAAGAATGTTACACTGTATACAATTTGAAATAAAAAGTATACAAACATAGCCAGGATTCAGCTGTAAGCATTTGCAACACTTACAACAATCAAGTAACACACATTCATATAAAATGTAAGTTACTTAGCCAGTCAGTGTAATGACAGGAATTAATAAGTAGATAACTCCCTAATTCCCACAGTATTAGGGAGCTATCTACTAAAAGGCTGAAAGACCTAAATTGGTTACTTAATCCACCAATCAGAGAGTTATGAGTGGCTTAAACCCACCAATCAGAGTGCTCTGAGCCTAATTGCTCTGAGCCTAATTGCAGGACGGGGCAAGGCTTTATAAGCCTTCCCCCACGCTGCAGAGCTCAGTCTGCGCTGAGCCCTCGCCAGGTGAAGATGGATTTATTTTTTTTGCGCTCCCCCCCCCCTTATTCCAATGCAGGGCCCCCACCCACCGCTTAGGGGTGGGGGCCAGTGGGGAGGGCATTAGTATTTAGTATTTAGGGCCCCCACCCGCCGCTCAGGGTTGGGGGCCAGGGGGGAGGACATTAGGTCCCTCACTTATTCCAATTTAGGGCCCCCACCCGCCGCTTATGGGTGGGGGCCAGGGGGGAGGACATTAGGTGTCCCCCCTTATTCCAATTTAGGGCCCCCACCCACCGACAGGGGTGGGGACATGGGGGAGGACATTAGGTCCCCCCCTTATTTTACTGTAGGGCCCCCACCCACCGCTCAGGAGTGGGGGCTGGGGGGGAGGACATTAGGTCCCCCCTTATTAGTATTTAGGGCCCCCACCCACCGTTTAGGGGTGGGGGCCGGGGGGAGGACAATAGGTCCCCCCCATCATTTTACTTTAGGGCCCCCATCCGCTGCTCAGTGGTGGGGGCCGGGGGGGAACAATAGGTCCCCCCTTTAGTTTAAAAGCCCCCACTCGTGGCTGCAAGAGAAGTCCCGAAATTCCGAAGTGCCGAAGTTGCTGAATTTCCAAACTGTCGAAGTGTCGAAGTTGCCGAAGTGTTAAAGTCCCGAATTGCTGAAGTCCCAAATTTCGGAATGCCGAACCGAACCGAAAATTTTCCCCATGCACATGCATAATATATACACTTTTATTTTGTTGTTGTAAGTAAACAATTACATTTTTTTACATTATGTAAAGTTTCTTCTTTGTGTCTCCTCTTTTTCTTGTTTGCTGGCAATCCATACCCATTTTAGTGGACAGTTTGGCCCTCCAGAACAAATTAGTTTTACACGCCTGGTGTAGAGGACCTAAATCTTCTTTCCACTGCACCCCACGGTAACTAGACCCTCACAGGACATGTCACCTTCAAGGGTGTTTGCAAAATATCAGCTTGTGAAAGTGACAGATGTGCTTTAAATAATACATAAAGTCGTAAACGTATGTGAGCATCACATGTGCTCTTCTCACAGACAATAAACAGCTTAAACACATACTGAATGAAATGTGTAAATAATTATATTAATTCACCCTAAATACAACCCTCAGTCTATAATAACAGCTGATCTGAGTGATACTGAGTGTCCTAGCAAAGGACAAGGAACCCAATGCAAGCTCATCGGGAATGGACCTGTGTATTATATGAAAGAGAACTTTTATCTAAACATCTTGTAACTGATGATCTACTTTGTTTTTTATTGAATGCTATATAATATATTTTATTTATGCTGTCTGGGAGGCAATTAAAAAGTCATTGTCTGTCTGTCAGTAAGCAAGTAACATTCATCGGTGAGTGTGGGAAGGGTTATAAAAGGGCTGATAGTCAAGTTTAAATAAATAATGTCCCTCTACTCTACCAGAACCCTTTATGTGCTGATAGGGAAGCATTTAAAGTTTCCAGTAAAACATAACGATGGAGAGTGTATAACTTTGTGTTTCAGCTCCTAAGTTTAGGTAGTTAAAGAAACACTCTAAGCACCAGAACTACAACAGCATCGTGGTTTTGGTGCAAAGAGTCCATTTGCAGTATCTCAGTTGTAAACACAATTGTTCTGAGAAAGGGTAATCTGTATGTTGAGCTGTAAGGACACCTCCAGGGGCTGTCACTCAGACAGCTACTAGAGCAGCTTCTTATTATGATCCGCAATCTTTTGAGCACTAGGATGCCAAACGCTCCCCATAGAGATGCATTGAGCTGTTGCATCTTTTTAAGGAGATGCAGATTGGAGCAGCGACCTCCAGACAAACACAGGAGCCCCCCCATTACTTCCTTATGGGAAAATATTGGATTTGCTGAGATCATCGTTGCTGATGATCTTTGCCAGGGTGGTGTGACGTAGGACTAAACTGAACTAAAAGGGTATTTAATTTCCTGATTTTAATTTGGATTACTATGTACCTCCTTTTTTTTCTCTTTTCTGCTTCTCCACCTATTTTTATTCAGCTTTCACTTCTACATTTACATTTTCTTATTTTTTAAAAGATTTTTTTTTTTCATTCACAGAATGCTGCTACACATGTCCTTTATCACCGCCCCTGCCGTTCAAACGAACTAACCTGCTATGGCAATGTCTCTGTTTGCTCTGTTTGAAACAAGTTAAGTTGAGCTGCAGCTGATCATATAACAACATGCCTCTCAACTGTCCCAATTCTGCCGTATTTCTTTTCTGTCCAACTTTTGGGGACACCAGGGAACTATCCCCACCATTCATAGTATAAGATGTGATTGTGATATGTTTAGGGCTCCTTCGCATGCTTTCACGCCAAGCTGACCTGCCATAAACCTAGGAGGAACTGCCCTCTTCTGGGCAGGTCTTCCTCTTTGGGGAGAGCTAGTGACCTTGCTCCCACCGGCGTCCCCATTCTTAGAACATTCTTAGGACATCAGAGTTAGGAGGTATGTAACAGTACTAGAATATGACTCAACATGGCTGTTCAGTCAGATTTAAAAAAGTAAATATTTCTCAAAACAAAAATCAATAATAATTTAAAATCATTAAGTTTCATATAAATGCAATAAACCTTTAAAAATGAAAAATGAAAATTTGTTGTCATGACTTTTAAGTGCTCATGGCTGCACAGACATTCACAGGCCTTCACCGGCATGGGAATGTTTGACAGTTCGGTTGATGTTACTCAGATTGCCTCACTGTAATTGCCAGCTTTTGTTTTGCGTACATTTTTTTAAATTTATTTCTGCTATGCATAATTTTTGGAAATGCATAAATACAAATATTTTAAAAAAGAAACGTCTACTCACCTCCACAATTTCCAGTAGCTCTGTCTTATCAATGCAACCATTTCCATCTCTGTCATAAACTTTGAATGTCCATTTTAGCTTGTGCTCCAATTTACCCCTTAACACAAGGTTCAGAGCTGCCACATATTCCAGGAAATCTATTGTATTGTCCTATAAAATAAAGCACAAAACATTTTTATCTATGTACAAGACAGTTTGATAAATAGCCATCCCGTGGAGCCATGCATCCCATGGAGCCTGTGCATTCCATTGAGCCTGTGCTAATTAGGCATCACTTAAGACGTTAATGGGAATTTGGCTCAGCTGAATCCCTCTTACCAGCACAAATATTTTGGATGTCTACTGAGGAAGTTGAAACTTGCTTAAATGATGCTTCATGCTCTGTATTTCGATAAACTGCTTGAAAACGTAATTACTGCACTCAAGGTATCTTTGCATCATAACCACTACAACAGCAACCTAAAATCCTTAGTGTTGCCATAAGCAGAACATGGAAATTGCTTCCAAGCAGTATGTAGAATTTATATGCTGCTGAATTTATGATTGATTAATTAATTACTTGATTCCTTATATATTTATACTGTGAATGTAAGTCATATCTTCAGAATACAAAAGGAGTATTGTAGGAAAACACTGGAAGTTGCATTACAGGAAAATAATTTGGTGTCTGGAGTGTTCCTTTAATGCTAAATAAGTGAGATGTTACATGGAAGAGTAGAGTCAGCGTAGGTCTACTCCGCTGAAGACATATTCCATCATCATTTAATAACAAGTTAAAAAATAATTATCCTCATCTACAGCAATAATTTAAATAGACCAATTATTTCTAATCTATTGGATTGTTTGTGAATGAACACGACTAGTGCGTTTATTCACTACTATCACTGTACCCCATCATTCAGTAGAGCTTACCGAGGGTTGTGGGATGTGACTATTATGCTCCTCTTTCCCTATTTCATTATTTAACAAACATCTTAATCCCATATACATGGATGTGAGGTCTACATCATTTGAAAATCGAGGTCCATGCTTAGTATATGTTAATGTGCTTGCATATTTTTATGACTTTATTGATTTACCTATAAACAGCAAGATCTCCTGTGTCATACTTTCGATGGAGACAATGTAATAAAGAGGTTTATCCAGTAGATATCACGTTTGAGATACTGATCGTGGCAGGTTTCATAATTGTCCACACACCAAGGAAATTCCCAAGGCCAAGCGAGACTACCCAACCCGGTAAGTAAACACAGAAACTGATATAGTGGAGTAGAGCTTGGCCAATGGTTTATTAAATTACAATTCATTTCACATAAACGTTGACCTAAAACTTTCATAAGCAATAATTAACTGCCCTCTGTCAGATCCAGGCAGATCCACAAGACTCAGTGCTCGGAGTGTAAACCAAGCAGGAGTCCCGTTTACCCCACATGCCTACCCTTACCCCTCTAGGCTAATTCTTGAGCTTCACATTATTCAGGCGCTGGTCAGGAAAGAAATCCCACAACCTGGGACATTACTGATAAATAAAAAACTAAAAAAGTGGAAAAGCTAACGACAATAAGGGTGAGGGATGGTGGGAACTGATCCTCCTACATTGTCGTCCAGGAAGCAGGATAAACAACAATGAACCCTTAAAATTCAGAGCATTTACAATACTGATCTCCATTAATGCCAGCTCTTACAGCTATGTCTTTGGCAGTCATTCTATGCATCCATGGCCCATTCCACACATGCAAATTGTTACAAATAGAACTTGGTTTTAACATTTCCAAGTATAATAAAAAAGTATTTCCTGTATTGCCCTTAGATGATCCCCTGTAGAAATCAAAGGGGACAAACGCGTTCAACTAATAAACTCTATAGCAAGTTCCAAGTTACTTATTAGTGTCAGAGACTCTGCAGAGGATCCTGCCAAGGTCAACAGCACAATCCAGGAGAATACATTGCAGTACATTATCAGAAACCAAGATAAGACACAAGGGAGTATAGAATTAATGTAGTGATAGTGTATCTAAATCTATTTATCTGTGTGTGTTTCTGACTGTCAAATGCCTTTGATTATGTGTAGCTGTGTACCTGTTTATCTGTTAATATCTGTGTCTGTGTGTGTATATGTAGATGTGTGGATATGAAGATAAATGTTTAACTTTGGGGACCACATTGATTAAAATCTTGCATGGAACCTCTCTGTTTCTGTTTTTTGTATGTCAAACCTAACTTACAATTACTTGAATGTCTTGTCTACCCTAGAGCTGTGGCATATTTCAATAATAATAATAATGATAGTAATTTACAGAGATTGGAGGATGATCAGTAAAGCAGTATTTGTGAAAAATAGAGGAAGAATCGGAGGTGCTGAACAACTGACTGGAGCCAATTTAACTGGTACATGAGCTATATAATTATAGTTAGTTATAAGGATTGTTTTGCCACACATTTGACCTGTTTTATGCCATTAAAAGCTTTTATATGTCATTATTTCTGCAGGTGTTTTTTTACATGTGTTATAAAAAAGACAAAATAAATAATATTCATAATAATCTATATAATAATTTATAATTATATTTATAATAATTATACATTTATTTGCTCGACCAGGCTGCCATTTTACAGTATGGAGTCATAAGGGTTAATTCCCTAATTGTTTCATTCTATAGAGTTAACAAAGGGATAGGATGTGTTAATCCAAGATTGATTACCTGGAAAACTAGCAGCATTGGGGCACAGTGTATTTTTTTTTAAAATCTTTTGGGCTGCATCTCTACATCAATTTTCTACAATTTCTAGTTTACTGAATAAACCTCACAGTTCAAATCAGGGACTGTCCTCGAGACTTTATGGCAGGAAGCTGTTCTGTTTTATTGCTAATTATATCAACTTAGGACTTTTTGCCAAATTTCTATTTTGTATGCTCCATTTGTTCCATGTGTTGAAGTATATAAAAAGAAATACTTATGGACAGAATGAGATTACTACATGCCTGTTCCTTTATAGTACCATCATACCAAACATACGTATATTAGCATGGTCTGGATCATGGGTAGGCAACCTTTTAGTAATACTGTGCCAAAACAACATCTTGTGCCAGTCCTATCTTTTTTTTTTTAATTAGGTTGTGTATTTTGCTGTATAATGCGTTATTTAATGTGTTACTTATGGGTGCTGCAGTTGCTTTGTAGCATTGTATTTGTGTGTATGTTGGCTGCTGTATTGTATATGTTCATGAGTAGTTTGTGGTATTGTGTATGACACCTATGAATGCGGGCTGTGTATGGGGCCTGCTTGTGGAATTGTGTGTCTGAATGACATGTCACATTGTGTGTTTGGTGGTGTGTGTATTTGTGGGGTTGGTTATGGTGGATTGTGTGCATGTATGTTGATTGTCAGTGGTGTTGTGTTTGTGGGTGTCAGTGGTGTGTGTTTCTGTGTGGGCTGTTTGTATTATTTTGTTCAGGAGATGGATTCTTCTGTAACTTTGTGTATATCTAGAAGTGTGTGTGGCTTCCCTTGGGTCCATTGGGGGCCAGGATGGCTTGGTACAGGTCACAGGGCAGGAGTTGTTGTATCTAGACGTATGTGTGGCTTCACTAGGGTCCAGTGGGGACCGGGATGGCAGGTACAGGTCAAGGGCAGGAGCTGCTGTATGCTGCTCTATTCCAGTGTGGATTCCCACTCACAAGTGCTGGGATGAAGTTTTTTGAGATTACTTCCTCAAGTGCCGCAATGCTTAAATTGAGAAGTGTTTTTCACCACCTGCAATCATCACTCATGTTGCATTAGTAAATATCTGAAGTCCCACGGGCAGTCGTGTGTGCTCTACAAAGTGCCATGCATGGCACACATGCCATAGGTTGCTGATTCCTGGTCTAGATGATTAAAATAATAAAGTATTGTGCCACTGCATATGTGTATTAAGCCTATGAACAATGTTATTGATTTGCAACATTAAAGGACCACTCTAGGCACCCAGACCACTTCAGCTTAATGAAGTGGTCTGGGTGCCAGGTCCAGCTAGGGTTAACCCATTTTTTTTTTATAAACATAGCAGTTTCAGAGAATATTATCTATATAATGCATTTAAAATTGGAAAATCCCTTCAAATTCTAGTTCTCCACTTCAGTTAATAAACATGTCTGTGTACGGTGTACTGAGTAACGTATTATTGATTTACATGCTGTATGTATAGTCACAAAAGTCAGCTCACAGCTATTCCTAAAAATAACCTGCTGGCAAATCTCATTACAGTAGAATAATTCCCCGGTGAGTAAATCCAATAGCAAGCAAGACAAACAGTCCCTTATACGAATAGGTCAGTGATCGCTAATAGCATTGCAGATGTTTAGGTACATATCCCATGATCCTCAGCCAGCTAGTTCACTGCAAAAGTAGTTCATAGAAACAGGAAAGACGTCTCAATATTTAAGTTAGTAATACACAGTTAGTTCTTCAGCTGACTTACTTTTTCATTTTGCACATATACAAACATTACATTTATCAAAAAATCTTAAAGGAACATATACTATAGCAGGTTATTGCTTATTGAGCCCGATTTTTTGTAGCCATTTGTAGCCTATTTTTGTAGTAATTATTCTACAATTACATCAATGTCTAGGTATTAAATTATTTATGTGTTAATTTATGCAGCACTCACCCCATTTTTATCAAAAGCTCTAAACATATGTTCCAAATAATCAGTTGCTTCCTGATTGTCCACCACGCCAAAAAAATGCTTAAACTCATGCATAAAAAGAGTTCCACTTGGGCATTCTACCACAAACTTCTTATACCACTCCTGAAGCTCTGCCACATCAATTTCTACTTTGCTAGAATCCGCACTTAATTGCTGTCCCATGTTTAGGAAACCTGACAGAGAGGCTGCACTATGACGTTCTTTTTTTCGTCCTCTCCCTTGCGTCTGTTTCCTTAGTCTTTTCGTTTGCACTCAGATATGAATCAGCTCTAAAATGAAACTTCCAAAAAGTATTATTTGCATCCCAAACTCTGCATGGAAATAAACTCTCAGTTCGTGGGCTACAGTTCTTGGTTTAATTTCCTCTTCATGTATCGATGGTTTTTCCCATTACTTTTAACCAGAGGCCATTGAGAAGTGCAAATCGTACATATATGTGCATTTCAATGACATAAATTCCTCCTGCAGTTTTCATTCCTAGTGATCCTTTTATCATTTGGTTCCATCACTGATCTTGCACTTGGACTCATCTAAAAATTATATCTCAAGGATGGAGCGATTATTTGTGCCTCCTGTCACCTTTCCAGGTTTCTATTCTATCATGGTCGCTCTGCCCAGCATAGCACAGTGGGTAGCATGGTCAGACTCATGCAATGTGTTTCACGAGACACTAATAAGATCATCTAAGATCATTATAAGATTCTCACGTGGGATTAGTTCTCAAGACACGCCTATTATAAAGGCACATTGTAAAGTGTGCTAGCTTGTGATAAAAACAGTCATATAGTAATACATCACCATGATAACAATTTCATTAAAGTGACACTGAAAAGTTCTAAATACATACATTTTATTTCGAATTCTGGTCTATTGTGGAGTTTATTCCCTCCGCTCCACCCCCCCCCCTCCGTAAAAATAAAGAGATAATTTACATTTAATCCAGTGGCAGGAGGGCCAAAGTAATCTTAACGCATGGACATGCTGGGCAGTTGCCAGTTTTCCCCACAAGCATAGGGGCCCCATAGGCTTGCCAACTTTTCAGTATATTATTCTGGGAGATTTATTCAGAACCTTAAAACCCTCTTTATTGAAACGTTTAGGTGGACTAATCAGCTCAGCATTGACATCCTGAAGACCATTGACTTTAAACCAATAAAAAAAGTAATTCTCTGCAAGATAAATTTCACAAATGTTTGTGTCGCACACTTGATTAATACTAAATAATTCATAGTAATTTCGTACGGTGGCATTTCCGTCTGTATGATTTGCCAACCGAGTACCATATTTCTGTTGAATTTCTTGTTTTTCAACTTCAAGGTTCATCTTATATTGTTCAAATGTTTGTGTTGGTTAATCTCTGCTGTGCAGCATGTTTTTTTAATATGTAAACACTACCTTTGTTGGAGGTACCAATAAATCTAAGTTTCATTTTATCGATAATTTACATTTTTATCTGTATGAGTGGTTGTATAGGCAGGGCCCCAGTACATTGCTTTGCCCTGGGGCCTATAATGCTGCTAAGATAGCCTTGAAGAGGGCACCTTACTGTAGCTCCTCTCTGCCTCTTGGAGATCATCAGCATTGATAATCTAATGGCCAATCCACTGCTTCTCAAGAGAAGTATTGAGACATATGGAGCACACAGTGGCAATCACCTTGCTGCACCGGCAATGCTTCTCATTTATTTCTGCTAGGGCACAAAGCAATCAGGAAGAGCAACATCCTGGTTGTGTAATTGACAGCTGGCATGGTACCACTTAGGAGTCTTAGCAAAGCACTGAAAGGGGTGAACACACTGTTAACCCCTAAAGTAATATGTTAATAAGACATAATGGGTATTTTTTTAACCAGGGTGGACACAGAAGAATGCTCTCCTTTTTTCTTCTCCCCATGCACAGTAGGATAACTGTTAGTCATGCCAAAGAATACCCTCCTCCTATGCCCCGGCTCCTATTCTCATTCACACTCCATGTGCAGTTCTATGTGAGTAAATTTAAAATAGTGGGTGGACGTACAATTGCCTACTCACTTTTATATCTAAAGATATGTGCCATTTGACTTTGGACAGCCCCAAGCACTTCAAATGACCATGAATCCTCAATTATTTGCCAATAACCTACCCCATAGCCATATTCCAGAGGATTACCAGTCACTCTAACAACAACTAAACAAAATAAAGTAAGTGCCACAATAATATAATCTTCCAGATACCCCTTAATATATGTGAACATGGTGGTGGGCTTTTTTTTAGCCAGTCCTTTCGGCTTTAATTACTAAACACGAATTACAGAGAACTGACCAACGAAGGAAATTGTCTGAGCTGTAAAAATTGCTATGACTAAACTTTACAATTCCTTTTGTCAATGTATCCAACTCTAGGTTTAGTGAACCAACCTGATAGTCCCAGTTTCCGTTCACTGTTATGTGAATCATCTTTGAAGGAATATTTTGGATAAATGTGTTACTGAGCATGCTTTCTATATTAAATGCATATGGATGAAATCGGTAGAAAAAAAAAAACACTTCAGATATGCAACCAATTCTATATAACCATATTGAGAAAATATTAGAACGTAATTTTCCTTAAAATAAAATCAGAATTGTATTTTTTTTACATCATAGAAATTAAAAATTTGAAAATTCTACTTAAGATTCAACATGCTACCAAGAATAAATAAAAAGTGATGCTAAAACTACAGTACAGACATAGTCTTAAATTAGAGGGACAAAGGTTTAAAAATAATATCAGGAAGTATTACTTTACTGAGAGGGTAGTGGATGCATGGAATAGCATTCCAGCTGAAGTGGTAGAGGTTAACACAGTTAACAAATGTTTAAGCATGTGTGGGATAGGCATAAGGCTATCCTAACTATAAGATAAGGCCAGGGACTAATGAAAGTATTTAGAAAATTGGGCAGACTAGACGGGCCGAATGGTTCTTATCTGCCATCACATTCTATGTTTCTATGTTTCTATTGCCTGCTCTAGTTTGATTCTTAACTATCCTATAGTCCCATAGTGACCAGACCGTTTTTCAATTTTCATTCCGTTAAGGAAACCTTTTAAAGTTTCTGTTTTTACAGAAAACAGATCTATGCAGGATATTATTGACACAATGTGGATAATAATTATGGACAGTTGCTGTATGTTCTGCTACAAATGTAACCAGTATTTATCCGGCGTACATCAGAGCCATGGGTTCACCCATGGACGTTCCTGTTTGTTGGATATAAAATCCAGATTCAAGCCTAAACATAAATGTAGTAATTCCATAATGTATTTATCTGAAGTAAGCGATTATACATCATAGTGGCACTGTGATCATTTGGTGTTTCTCCTTTCGTATCTACGAATTCCTTACTACTAACCGGCACACAGTGGGATAAGTTCTCGGTGTTGGGAGTTAGACTCATAGGTTGTTATGGGTATATTTGTTGGTAGGCGCTCAGGAATTATAGATATTGATCACTTTGATATAACATTGAAATCTTCCTTCCAGTCACTACATAAAATATTCTTTTTCGAGAGTGTCCTAACAATATCCCAACGACCATCCCTATATTGTGTAAATAAATGTATATATGTATATATTTTTTCTATACTTTATTTCTTTTTTTTCTATACTAAATCACTGACTCTTGTGGAGTATTGGACTAATTACACTGATGACGTTTTTTGAAAAGAGACATGTCACTGATGGCATCACTTGATCTCATTTTCACATTTCCCACCCTCCAATGAACACTTGAGTATTGCATATTTAAATGGTTGCTGTATCACTGTTTATTTGTCTTGATAAAAGTCCGGTTGGACTGAAACGTTGACACTGACACTTTTGATGTGATTATCTGTTGCTGAAATAAAAAGCCCTCTGTTGAAACATATCGAGTCTTGTGAGTGCTCTCCATCAAGGTACTATATGTTTGTATAAAAAAAATAAAAAAAATGTTTTTATTTATTATAAAAACATTTATATATATTGTGTGTGTGTGTGTGTGTGTATATATATATATATATACATATATATATATACACACACACACACACAGGAGAAAGTCAGAATGCACACTCAGGTCTTTAAATAAGTGTAATGTGGTTTAATTAATCATCAAACATGCAGCAAATAGAATCAATGTTTCGACACCAGCGGGTCTTTTTTAAAATCTTGTAAAAGACCCGCGGGGGTCGAAACGTTGATTCTATTTGCTGCATCCTGGATTGGCCTCCCCCTTCTGTGATGTCACAGTGATAGGGGAACCTAATGCGCATGTGTGGTGAGTGCTACGCATGCATTAAAGCTTCCGCTCCTTCACAGGAAAGCAATGCCTTCCTATTGGGGTTTTTTAAAACACTGGACATCCTCATGCAAAGTGTGAGAAAGTTCAGCATTTATTTATGGAAATTCAATAGAAGCAGTCTTAATCTCTCAATGGTAATGTTTTACATTGCAGGATAAAGGGGACAGGTACACTGCATCCAGATCACTTCAATGAGTTTAGGTGTTCTAGATGCCTGTAGTGTCCCTTTAATTCTTTCCTTGAACCTATTTCTTGTGCCATGATTGTGACTCACCCCATTCCACTAAAACAAATCTTTAAGATATCTTGATATGGAAACTGGCTATGATTTACTAGTAGTTGGAAAGAAAATTGTGAATATTTGTAGCACTGCACTCTTTGTGGAACTAAATATGAAATGTAGAATTCTTGAGAGATTAAAGAACTGACACTCACACAATTAAATACAACACCGAAAGCCACTTGTAACTGTTTTCTTTTGAATTTATATGATTTTGAAAATAGAATCATGATCCAGTTTCTACTAAGCAAGGTTGGGACATACATTGCAAATTAAGAGAAATACAAGCATTCCTGGCACTATAGTGGTCCTTTAATGACTTCCCTTGCAGTTTCGCACTTCTGTTACTGGTGTGAACATTTTAATTAATTGGGGTGAACATTCTAATTGGGCACCAGGGTGGTCCCCATTTGGGAGACAAATGGGTTCTGTTCGTAAGGACACTCCCAAACAAGGGAACAAGGCACAGCACACGAAAAACAGAGGAAAACACACAATACAAGGGTAAAACATACGAATAATCAGTGGTTCTGCCACATGAGGTATTACCGATTCAAAGATGGAGGCATGGAGTACTTATAAAGTGTTGGGACAGATCTTGTAACATTGATGGAGGAGTCCAGTCACAGGATAAAGAGGCCTGAATTTTTACATTTAATTTTATTTTTCCCTCCTCACAAATACATATTTGTTAAGCATAAGTAAAAATAATAAGGAAAAAAAAAGAAGTGATAGTTTTACTTTAAAATGCCTGCAAAATTTAATCTTTTTAAATCAAATGTAATACCGCTTTTATTTCTGATAACGAAACCCTTCTAAGATCTACAATTTCAAATTAGACGTCACAGTTAAGCTATTAATTGGTGAACGGCAGATGTTTGGATTAAAGTGGAACTTACAGATTTCTATAATTTCTATAATCATATTTTAATAAGCATATTAATAAGTAAATTGTACTTTACTTAATCTAGTGGGAATTAAATTTAAAGACAGATTACTGTATCATAATTAGTTGTGCTCTGTACAACGAGGATGAAATTAAATAATCTCTGACTGAAAGTCCTATCAGGG